ATCCCTTACCACACCCTCTACTTTTGCATGGTACAGAAGGAACTGTGCAGTCTTAAGATGCATTCCCTCCTGATGAATTCAAAGACTTTTTTTTTTTTTAACCCTGCTAAAGACTGAGATCATAATATTCCTGGGACTGTCTGAAATGAATGCAGTGGGTATCCAGGGACCTACAAACGGCAGCTCTTGGCAGGCCATTCTGGGCTTGATTAGGACTTGACACAGGCTCACAGTGAGCACCTTGTTTCAGTCATTCCCTACCCTCTCCAAACCCTCCGAACACTCCCTGTGGCATATCTGCATTTTAAAGTGGGTTTTGCTGCAGGGCACTCTAAATCTGCCCATAATTAGGCACCATTTGAGTGCATTTAAGATATATCTTTCCCATAACAAGGATGCAGCTGAATAAGATGTCTGAGCCCTCTCAGTTTGTTATTAATGACACTTCAGACCATGTCTGCAGTTGCTATAGAGGTATTCCTATCGGCACCAACCTCTCCTCATATGCATAGAAGGGCTCAGACTGTGGATTCGGAAGTGTTAACTGTCAATTTTCTTTGGAGAGTTCTGCTGAGTGAAGTGAGGAAGTGGAAATTCCCAGGACTGGCATTCACATCATCACAAACATGGACTTTGTGACTGCTGCCACTCAGCCTAAGCTGTTGCTTCCCAGGTAGCCCTTGCACAGGAGTGCTGGTGCATAGCAAGTACCTTGCAAAGACACATAGCCGGATTAGTGACTTGCACGTGCAAACTTGTTCTTACTGCCCAAAACTGTAGGAGCTAGGAATACAAGAGTCACATGCTGGTTCACCTGGATGATTTGATCTGTTTGGAAGGCCAGACCTGTTTTTTCACAAGCTACAATAATAGAAATCAATTACCAAGTCATACTCAGATTTTTACTTTGAATGTCAGATGTCACTGATTATTGATATGTTTCAGCTATTTTAAATTTATTTGGTTCCTATACAGGAAAGGAGAGCATTAAATAGAAGATGCCATTAAATAAGCCCAGAATAGGATATGTGAAATAGGAGGGGCTGGCAACTACTGTCAAAAGCTATGAATTAGCAAGCCATTGAGGGGAATTTCAATGTGCCCTTGGGAATTCAGTTCTTAAGATAAAATACAGATGTTTCCCTAATGTAGATAGGGACCAACACAACATGTTAAGTTCAGCTCAGGTAGTGTCCTGAATAGTTAAAGACCTACTGTCCAGCAGCCTAAGCCTAAAATAGAGCTTTTGGGTACACTGTTTGTGGTTGGGAAGGAGCCTTTTATGAAAACTAAAGAGATGTGCCAAGCATTAGTATTATGTATAAAGGAGCTTCTCTCTGTTTACTAAAGCAGTTGTCAGGTGCAGACACTTTGCCTCTTTGGAACTGCTCTCTCCTAATATCTTCATGGTCTCTGCAATTCTAAGGGAGGCAAGTTAGGAAACGTGGCTACAGCACAGACCTTGGCTCTAGCTTGGGTTAAGGTGACTGGGGGAATATTACATGTCCTCTAGACTAACTTGCTTAAAGAGGGTCTCCTAAGACCCACACAATTTTAATAGATCCTTACCTTAGGAGATAGAACTCTGTTAAGGGAGATGAACTAGAAACTCAAAATGACTACATTTCACTCTCTCCTTCCTTGGGAGGAAAATCATACAATCATGATCTGGTTTGGGTTGAAAGGGACCTTAAAGATCAGCTAGTTCTAACCCCACTGCCATGGGGAGGGATACCTTATGCTAAGAAACTACAGCTTGCAGTTTCCTGGACATTTGCACTCAAAAACTCTTTGATGTCAAAGAAAATCAGGGAATTTAGGATGTGGTCTTAGGTATCTCAGGACTGGGTCTTTCCAGAAATAATGGAGAAAGGTTTAAGCGAGATCATCCAGTTATGACACTGATATTTTCATGCATTGGGATGAATTTTAAATAATATCCATGTGACTTGGCTCTGCTTCAAGAAAACTGAATCCACCTAGGGTAAGCACCCAGGAAATACTGACTGTTTCAGCAAATTTGATTATTTATATTTATTTCTTTAATTTCTCTATCTATGAAAACACAAGATAGGAGCGCTGTGCTGTTTTCAGTATCAGTTCAGTCTTATCTTCTCCTCTATATTTCAGTGGGGCTAACTGTGCAAGAAGGACCACCAGAGTCCACTTTCTATTTAAGTACACTTTTCTGTGTCCAGGTAACAGTGACTCATCCAGGCCTCTGGGTGTATCACACACATGCTGTCTCTATCACAGATAATGGCATGTCTCACTGAGCTGGCACACCAGTCCAAGCTGAAAGGTGGGGCTGACTGGAGGTGGTGCTAAAACTCAGCAAGAACCTCAAATCAGCGTAATATGTTTGGATTTCTAAATACACATAAATATAAAAGGACAGCTTTATATGGCATTTGCTGAAAAAAAAAAAAAGCCTTGTGTTTGTATGTCTAAATACAAATACCTGGCTTGATACATCACCACTCACAAAATCTGACTTCTATATACACTGGTGTATATACAGAGATTTGTATTTACGTTTCAGAAAGTTTGGAGTGGAGTATCAAGGCACAAAGTTAAAGTTTCCTTCATTCTGCATTTCTTTCCTATTCCATATCTGTTTTCTACCTTTTTTTCCTTCCCTCTTTACAACATTAAGCCTCTTTATTTGTTTTTCTTACTCATCCTGACTGTTTTTGTATTCTGCTCCCTGATGACTTTGAAATGTGATGTCAAATAATCAAATTGTGCAGATGTAATCTGTATTCAAAACAGCATCCCAAATCCACATATATACACAATATATATGTATGTGTGTGTATATATATATGCACTCATATATAATGATTCACGTTATATATAATACTGCACATATATTACAATATAGAAGTCAGCGTATGACTTCACATATAATAGCCAACTTGCATTCTGCCTCTCTGTAGCATTCTGTACAACTCCAGGCGGTGCCATCAGGATGCCTTTCAGGGCCAAGCAACTCCACGTTTGCCTGGAGGAGCTCTTATGTCTCCACTACGCTACGCTTTGCCCATCACCTCCAGCAGCAGGTCAGGTTCTCATGTAACCTGTACAGTGGTGCTCTCACAGAGTCCCGTCAGTTTCAGTGTTTTGGGGAGAACTGCTCTTGTTTGGTTTTCTCTTGAATAATTTAGAAAGTCTTGTCCTTTGGTACGTTTATGTAGTTGTTACCTATTGTCTTGTGGCCTATCGCTTGGATTTAAAATACCAGGAAAATAATCAGTGCAGAAAAGACATACACAGGCCCAAGAACTTGTGCATGGTGTGGGCTGCTGGTGATCTCACACAAGTTTAAAAAACTTCCAACACATATTATGTTGCAGAGCATCAGGTGACTGATATGGCTGGCTCCTGTACTGCATGTTGGGATGAAAGCCTCAGGATTATTTCAGAAAAGCTTGACAAGGTTATTCATGAGTGACTGCTACTTCTTAAAACCTGTTCATCCTTGTTTTCTAACACCATGGACAAGTAGCCAGACCAGCTCAGGCAGTGCCACTGAGAGTAGCTAAGATATAGTTCCCAGTCAATCCTTGAGACTAACCCCTTGGTCAACAGCTGGTAACAAAGGCACCGCTGGGCATCCTACAGCAAACTGCCTTTCCAGGCACCCAGTGCACACACAAATGTGTTAAAATGACTTTGTCTCCTAGGATCTGGCTTATTTTATACTTTTTTAAGAGTAAAGCATAACTTTCAGAGCACCAGAAGACAGGCATAATGAAAAACCGAGGGGAAAAGTCAGTTTGAATGCCCGTTTCTGAATATCCTCTTTCTCCTGCACAAATGCAGTCAGTGCATGGTACTACTCCAACATTTCATGTGCTGGTGCACAAGTTTCAGTGCCATTTCAGAAGTGCACTGGGCTCGAAGTGCCCAAAGCCCTCCTGAATGTGGGACCCTGTATATTTTGGAACTGATGAAACACGCACGTTGTTTTCCCGACGAGCATCAACACGCTGTGATGCGAAGGGGAGGGAGCAGCTGCCAGAGGACCAGACCCATCCTGGACGTAATGGTACAGATTTAACCTGCGCTGCCTTGTCCGGCTGCCGGTTGCTTTCCGGAGCGGCACAAGGGTGTTTGGTGCCGAGGGCATCCCGGCCCCGTCCATCCGCCCCGCAGCGCCCCCGGTCCTCGGGAGAGCTGCCCCATGCCCCGGGGCCTCGACCACAGCCATAGGGCAAGGGCAAGTCAGTAGTTACGGTACAGAGAGGGAGGGAGTTTCCAATGGGCTTCAACCTCCACTGGCAACTCACGAGGGCAGCACACGCACCGAGGAAGGTGGACACACCGGTGTGACGGTGAGAGAGGCCGTGCGCTGCCCGGGCGGACACCGGGGAGCGACAGCACCGCCGGGTGCGGCGGGGCGGGGGCCGAGGCCGCGGAGAATCCCGAGGCAGCCGCCGAGGAGGCGCGGAGGACGCAGGCGAGGCGGCGGCCCCACGCCCAGGAGCGCGCTTAAAACCTCCAGAAGGGTGTGCCCTGCCTTTCCTGCTCCGCGGGCGGGACCGAGACGGGACCTCCGCTCTTGCCGCCGTCGCCAAGCAGCCTCCGCCGGCCGCCCGGCACCGCACAGCGCTTCGCGGCGCCCCTGCCCAGCCCTCACCTGTGAGAAGATCCCCGGCTCTTTCCGGCCCTTCCCCGGCCCTCGGTGGACTGCGAGGGAGCGGCGGCACCGCGGCGGGCGCTCCCGGCGGTGAATGCCTTTCCCCCCGTCGGGTCTGGGTCAATCTCTCCGTGGCTTTGCCCCTCGCCCTCTGCCCCTCGGCGCTCCCCCGGTGCATGAGGGCATCAACCGGCGGGTCGCACCCGCGCATCAACACCCTGGGCCGGATGGCGCGGGCAGAGTCGGGCACCGACCTGCGCTACGAGATGAGCTCCCATGTGGTGGGGGGGGGGCGCGGCGGCGGCGGCGCGGCACCCACACCCCACAAGAACCTACCTACTACCAGAGAACTACGGCGGGGACTACGCTCCGACGGATACGGGTAGGTGCGGGTCCAGCCGACCCTCGGCCCCGCTGGATCGGGGCCGCCTTCGGGGGAACTGCCGTGAGACTGCTTGCGGTTTGATTTCCTAGGTGTGCAAGCTTGCAAGTCTCTTTTTTCTCTTCCTTCCTGAGGAGTATTTTTAATTCTAAAAGGCATTTAAACGCAAGCGAAGAACTTACTAATAAGAACACAAACAAAACACTTTTGGTGGTGACTCTCCTTGAAGAGAGTAACAGGAACAAAAAATAATGTCTTCCCTTTGCACTCAGAGTTGTAAGTGGGTCCGTGCTGGCTGTATTATCAGTTCTCTGCTGATAAACCTTGGCTTTGCTTGGTGACGTAAAACAAAGCTGTACTGAGGTGAATTGCTTTATACCCCATACACCCAGGCTCTGCGCTCCTCAGTAGTTGCAATAACTAAGACTATAAAACTATTTTAACTAGTGGGAATTGTTCTCTTGTTCATTTTTGAGTTTGTTTCTAGCTTGTTTAGGGCTTGGGAGTTTTAAGTCATGATATTTTATAAGGCGATCCCTGACATTTAGTGCCAGGGAGCAAAGATGTGTAACAAGCAACCTCGGTCTGCTTTCCTCCCCTCCACCTTTTTAACTTTCTACTTACCCTGTTGCTGCAGGCACAGTCAAGCTCTTGTAGCCAGGGTGCCGGCTGCGAATCCTGGCTTGGAGAATGCCTGCACTTGTGGATGCAGCTGTACCAGCAATCTGTGCATGTCACGTCTGGCAAGGACTTTTTGGACCAGAGTGGTCCTGTGAATGTATGAAAAATAAGTGCAGTGGTCATGAAGACTTCTCCTTTAATCTCCTTAGCTGGGAGTTCACAGGACTGAAAAGCAGGCAGCATTTACAGTCACCGAAGGAAAGAGCAGTTTTGTGATACAGCACCTATACAAAACGCTGCTTGTGATTACAGGTTTTTATGCATGGAAAGGCCCTATTAAACCTGTTGGTCTAATTATTGATGCCACTGATTTAGGAATCGATGCAGAAGCACTGACTTGTATTTTGTGTTGAATTTAAGACCTGATTTTATGAATAGTACGTAATAAGATTGCAGAAGGACAAGAATTAAACATGCATAGTAAATAATAAACAGCAAGTGAGAACAAGCAGGCTTTTTTATATCAAGCAAAATCTATAAGTGGCTGTAGAGAATTACAATTATCCTAGAGAGCACAGAGTGCTCTGCTTAGGTATGTCAGACCTGTTGCTAGAGAACCACTGAATGAATGACAAAACTTGCATTCTATGTATTTTTTGTTTATTACTTTGCGTGGTTCTTAGTTTTTGTTCTTTGTCTGACTTTCGGTTTGGTGTATGTGCAGGTAAGTTAGTTACGATGAATTGCAGCTAGAGCACATCTAGTTACCAATACAGTAGTATGAGAATACCTATTTATTTCTATATAATTAGAACAATTCAGTACTTTACTATTGGAGAGTACACATACTAGGACTCCAAAACGCTGTTGCTACCTTGCATTTGTGAGGATTTGTTTTCCTAGTGGTGCTTCATGGCAAATACCTTTACTGTTACAAGACACAAGCAAAGCAGGAAAAATGAATGGCAGTGCGTTTTACTTCCTGGCCATTCTCTTTTTCCACACTTTGTCACACTAGAGTGTCTTCCCCATCACTCCTGACTTGTGCTAGAGGAGGAATACCTTCCTTTAATTTATTATTCTTTGGCTTTTGTTACATATTTTTAACCAGTCTATAGTTTGTTAGGCTTTTCTTTCTGTAGTGTTCAATGGTGGTGTAGCAAGAGTGGAAAGGACAGACCTGACCAAAAGGTTAACAACCTTTCATTTACTCTTTATAACATAATACGAATATCTCCTTTTTGGGCAGCCATTTCTGACAAGGAGGTTGCATAGGTTTATTTTTAGTCAGTGCTCATCTGAGTTAAAATGTGTCCCAAAATACAAAACGAGGGGTTTGTTGCCAATTAATGAAAAAAGGCAGTTATGCCTGATTTTGCACATGTGTTTTGTGCCGAAAATCCACTAAATCCTGTATGTTGTGCTATCAGGATCAGGGCCATCATCTGTGGAATTGTTTTGAATAATTGCATTTAACCAGACGTCTGCAGTGCCAAAGTTTAGTGGTATCTACTGAACTCAGAAAACTGAGGCTTCTTTTTCCAACGGGGAAGACCACTCTACCCTAATTTTTAAATGCAGAAGGATTCAAGGTAGGGTCTAGTCTTGTAAGTTTTGGGGCGTATTCTGCCAAACAAGTCTGTGCTGAGTATTACATTACTCACAGAGCAATATGAGACTCTCCCTACCCTTAGGGCTCAGCAAGGTGCTTTTACAACATTCCCGGTTTCTTCTAGCTTGGGAACTCAGGATGAGCTTGGCCCAGAGTACAGATACTCAGCTTGACAGTGAGTCACATGCTGCTAAACTGCCAATTCATCAGAAAAATATTTATCAATGTCTTTGCTACGGAGATAGAAAATCTGATAAACTATGAGAGAAAGGAAAGAAGTGCAAAGTTGTGCAGTTTTATTTGTCATTGCTGAGGTTATGGAAAAAAATAGCCTAGGATTCATGGTCACTGAATGATATGAACATAATTTAATTTACACAATTCTGCTTAAGGATTAACTTAACTTCTGTGCTTCAAGTTAAAAGGAGTTAGAAATTCACATCCTGTGCCCCGACATTACTTTCAGGAACTGACAGACAAAGTAAACTTGGAGGACACTGACTCAAAGCCACATTTTTACCCTTCTCATCAGTCTCACAGGGATCTGAAGAGTCCTGACTAAGCTGAGTGGTAGTAGAGCTGGCATGGTAACTTCCCCTTTGAGCTCTTCAGACAGAGAGGGAGGAATGTGTCTGAATTGCTGCCGAATACCTGCCATGCTGGCAGAGCCTGCGGCTGTGCTCTGGCTGGCAGAGAAATGGGTCTCTGTGACAGCTGGTGATAGTGCCACGCCATGAGGAGAAAGTGCCAACCCACTGTTCTGTAGGTACATGTGTGAGATTTGAAGGTTGGTACCTTTGCAGGTGTGAAAGCCTCTGTCTGGCAAAGCAGGTTTGTTGCGTTTGGAGCGTCTGCTCTCCAGCAGAGGTGTATTTCCGTGGTCAAGGTTAGACCCAGCACTTGGCACCACCTCTCTCTCCCAGAACCGGTGGTGGGAGAGGCAGCACGTCTGCAGCCTGCTGCACTGGGCAGGTGTGGCCTTTAGAACGGTTCTGTTGCTCCCGGTGATTCATACCAGTGGGAAAAAGCATGAGGATTTTCTGTGAATAGGTGTGGCAGAATCTCTTGTGAAACCCTGCGTGCCATGAGGGCACTAAGCCTCAGGAGTCTTAATAGTTCAATAATTCACTAGTGACTCCTAAATTTTTGCACATTTCTAAAGGTATTTAGAGCCTGATTGTGCCAGATGCAGATGTCTTTTGAGATTTCCTGCCATCATGCCTTAGTCTATGTGCATACTTGGCAGATGGGACTAGTTTGGCGAGGCCATGGTGTGCCAAAAGTGATCCTAGTTAGACCAGAGACATGTGAGGAGAACCCAATTATGAAACTCGATGATTTGACACTTGTATTCAACTTCTGTTAGGTGAGAGGGGGAAAGCTGGGTTATAATATTTTAATTTTGCTTTGCATTGTTATGGATATTGTGATTCACCACCTTTAGCCAGCATATGCCAGTGCATTTTCTGGGGCATCCACACCCAACTGGCGGGTGGTGGCGTGTGGGTGGCGGTTTAGTCCAGTGGTATGTGCAGGCTGTGTGCTGGGAATGGATATTCCAGGTCAGGTTTTTCCTCTGACTTGACTACTCCGGGCATACCAGGTAATCCCTTGATGAATCTATTGCTTGTTCAAACAAGTTTGTGTGGAGGGGGGAAGTGTGAAGAAAAAGAAGTGCTGTTTTTTTGCTCTCACTGAGTTTATGAGAATCACTCAATACTCTGGTTCTGCTCAAAGACTTTTTTTCTAAAGCTTCCTTCACTTTTAGAATGAATTAAAAAAAGGCTAAAAGTTTTGTGGAGGAATTGGAAAATGTAACAAGGATTATTCTAATTTGTTTCAAGTAGTATCTTCTAGACAAGAGCATCCTCTTTGTATTTCCAAAGCTTTAAGGAACTGTGAAGCCGCTGGAAGGCCCCTCAGTACAGCTGGATGTGCTTCTGTGTCTCCTCCACCCTGCTTCTCTAGACACTAATCGTACTCCCCTGCCCTCCCTAGATAACCCGGTGGCCTCTTCATGTGTACTAACAAAGGCAGAAACCAGAGCAGCCTCCACATTGCAGTCGTTTATGCTGGGAGTGTGCAGGTCTTCAGCAGCAGGAGGCAAATGAGAAAGCAGAAGGTAGCCGACTTTCTTCCTTGCTCCTCGGGTTCTGCAGTAATGACATCAGCTCCTATACTGGGCCTATGTAGGTGCAAGCTGAGTGTTTAGAGAAGATATTTGATTTATTCAAAATATATCACTTAGGAAACTTTTTCACTGCTTGATTAAGTCAGTGGCAGCAGTACTCAGCCCCGCTGTGTTCCAGTGATGTGAACACCACTGGGTTTGCTGTGTCTGTCTCATAACTCATCGTATGGCCTCGAAAGCAGGTTTCTTGTTTTGGTACAGCTGGGGGTCTTGTGAGGATCACTGGTACTGCTCAGCAGTTAAACACAATCCAGGTTCAGAAATAGAGGATTCAATTCAATTCAATTCAAGTTATGGCTGAGTTTAGCTCTGATGGGGTGTATTCCAGCAGAGAGGTGTTGCTGAGCTACTGTCCTGTCCAAATCCCAGTGTCAGCATAAGTTGGGCTGTCCTCTCATTTCTCTGGGAGAGCAGGAGCATAGTATAACAAGGGAACAATGTGTTCTGCCTTGACATGCACGGAACAAGGCGACTCCCGTACAGTGACAACATGAAGGTGCTATGCCTTTCCTAGGGTAGAGAGAGAGAGGGCTACATTTTAAGATCCCAAATAAAAGCAATTCATCTGTGTTTTGAAGTGTTTTCGTATTAAAACAAAGAAGCTATCCCCTTTTTTGTTTTCCTTTGTTCCTTTAATAGTTAGTGACTATTAAGACTAAGTTATTTTAATAAAGAATTCTGCTTAATAGTATATTTTTGAAATTCATGGGTTGCCTTCCAAATAAATGTGGTAGTCTAAAATGTTAAGTTGTAGGGACAAAAAGGTAGTTGAGGTCTGAAGCAGTCTGGGCTGTTTCACTCAGCGCTGTTCTGCAGCGTTTACAGAACCAAAGGAGCACAGCAAGTATATTGCAACATATATATTTATTAGTAGGAGAGACTCTGCACTCTTTTGTTATGAGTCCTGCTAAAAGACCAACCTCCAATTCTTTCTCATTCTGCTGGAATGGTTGATAACGCTGTATTTACAGGGGTGCAGTAAGCCAAATGAAAAATCTGTCCATATTTTCACTGCATGGTGTGCCTACAGTGTCTGATACAGCAGGATCCTATTCAGAGGTTCAAGCTTTAAATGCTGTCAGAGTTAGATCAAATTGCCATAGCAGCAACAGTATGTCGTAGCATAGTTGTTACAATGACCAAACATTACTTTAAACTCATTCAGTTTTATGTAAAAAAAATCAGACAAAGCAAGAAAGACACTGACAAAATACTGTGTAAAGTAATCCACTAAATCTGTGTTCTGTGAGAATTGCTGGGATCCTACATCTTCCTGAGGGACATAAATATATTTTTATATAGCATGTAGGTTACATGGTTTTACTCTAAAAATCCAGCTTTATACTTTGTACCGTGTTATGATACCATCCAGCATGTTCAGGGTTTGCCTCAGTTTCTTTGGTCCAGTATTTTTTATGTTGGAAATGGTTTTCCTTTGGCTGTCTGTTTGCTACTGCCTCAAGGTTGGATATTGTACTGTTCTGCATTGGAGTTTCTCCTTTGATCTACTCATCCACATTAGAGGCCTGTTGGGTTCATTAAGAAGTGTGTTATACTGAGGGCCTTTGAAACTAATCATGAAATACTTGTCACAGGGTGAAAAGTATTGAATATGAGCTTATATGACATTGTGCTAGTGCCATCTGATATGTCAACCTGTATATGCTGAGGTATTGTCTTACTGAGTATTTTGGTTTTTAAATTCAGATATTGATTCATGCCCTTGAGTATATTTGAACAGCTAAATCTTCTTCAGATTTGAAGAAGTCCTGTTGACTTGGTGGAGCTGTGCTGTCAAACATCATCTCCTATAGTGGCAGCTGCTGTCTCTGGGTGTGCCCTGTAAACCCATTTAGCTCCATTTGGTCCTTTGACAGATTTGAAAGCCAGTGCCTCTAACAGGCCACTACCTTTTTACCTATTATTGTAGGATTGATCTCTGTATTTTAACTAGCAAAACCTAGTTATTTTTTTAACAACAAAACTAACATCAGGGGTATTAAAAGCAGCATTGATAAAATGTGTGCTCTTTCCTGGTTTCAATTTGTATAACTCCAACTTTTGCCATTATTTTGGTTATATCTTTGTCTACTGGTTCGTAGAACCTTAAATACGTGCTACTTTCTTCTTGTGAAGGTCCCTGTGAACTGTAAACAAGCAACTTGTAGATCTTTTTTTAAAGCTCTAATTAGGGTGTGCTTAAGCCTCCCACTTCAAGGCATCTGCTCCTGCTTTGGGAAGAGTTTTGTGCATCTATATTAAACCATCTTAATTTTTCCAACATTTTATTATTTGGACAATAATTCTGGATGTGGTATTCAAGCATCACTGAGACGAACACAAAATACTTATAATTCTACTTCAATATTTTAACTTGTTTTAGTAGTTTATTTGAAAATAGGTTTTCTTCACGACTTTTTACCATGTTAACTATGATAGCCATTGTTTAGAACTCCTCTCATTGTAAAGCAAAGCAATGCCTTTGAGGTTAGTGAAGATAACTGAAACCAGTGGAGATATACTGATTTATTAAAGTGTAAGTCTGGCCACCATCTATAGTTCTTTTGGCTTTAATGCATATTTGGCACTTGTAGCTGCCAGGACATGATTGAAAAAGGGATTGAAGAAAAAATACTCTTCTGATGTTCTAAAAAGAGAAAGTTGCTTGGAAGGTTCTTCTCTCTTATTATGTTTCATTCATGAGAATAATTGTGGGTGTAATTAAATGTAAATTTCAAGCGCAGTCACATACTTCTAGACCTAAGCACAACAGTGATGCCTAAGGAGAAGGAATGATTTGGAAAAGGAAGCTGATGGAAAGCCTGGCACAAAATCAGACCCGTATGCAATTTTTCATAATTGTTTTCTCTAAGCTGTTTCCAAGGTACACAGTGGTGCATAGCACACTGGGGCGCAGCGTTTATGCAGTCAAAGGGTCACAGTACAAGCAGGGGGCTGCACATGTACGGCTTGTTTTATGTCATCCAGTGATTCTCCAGTCTTGTCTCTACATTTTTGAGGGTCTGTTCACTGGTATTGGGGGAAGCTGCTGAAAAGTTGGGCAAACCTTTTCCATTTGTTCAAGACGAGCTGATAGAACAGAAGGCTGCTGATGCCCCAGCTGCACATGCTGCAGAGAGCTCTTCAAATTACGCTGTTGAATGTTTCTCAGCGCTGCAGTGATTTTCCCAAGGACAGTTCTGCTGAGTTTTTTACATTGTCACAATTCCTCTTGTCAAGGATGGTCAGTCTGTTGAAGTCAGTGGAAAGATCTCTATAGAATCCAAATTTCTTGCTGGCTCTGAGTTGGACAGGTTCCCACCAATGGTCTTTTTAACACGAGTGTTGTATGGAATGTTGGGCTCTTCAGTGATTTGTAATGGAAAAAGTTATCTACTGTGAGAACAGGAGTTTGAAAACTAGGCAGGGCTTGGAAGAACCTTAGTTTCTTACCGTCTGTTAGTAGTGGTTTTGGGTTTGGGAGATGCCTGAGCTTGCTTGAGAGGTCTGATCCCATCAGCAGGGAATGGTTCCTCACTTGAAGCACCTCACCCCTGTTCAGCTAGCAGTGGCTCATTTTGGTGGCTGAATCCCAGAAACCTTCTGGCAGTATGGATGCAGTAGATTATGTGCAAGACAACAATAACAACCCCCTTACCTGCCTTGGCTTTTCGCCCCACTAGTGTTTTCAGTGCTGGAATTTTACTTGGAACCTCCAAACTCACACTTTATGTATCTGTAAGAAAGCATGTACTCTAACTCCAGGCCCTACAGCTATTTTTGTAATAGCTTGAACATCTTTGCAATTCCTTCTTAAGACACTGCACTAGCTTTGTGCATTTCTGCTGGTAAAAAGGCCCTTCATATGCTTGAATGGACTTGCTTGTGTTGCCAAGGATCCTGCTTTCCTTTTATGCCCTGACTTTTGATGGCTGGTGTGATAACATGTACAATTACATCACACAACTCTATGCTCTAGGTATTGACTTTAACAAAGATTGTGAATAATTCATTCCCACTGTAAAGCTGCCAAAGTTTTGTCTATCAAAGCTACAAATACCTGTGCTGGAAGAAAAATTTTCTCCTTTCTGGCATGCCAGTTTCCATCTTCTACTCTATCCTGTGACAAAGTCAGTCCATGGCAGCTGTTGCAGAATTATGAAGTGGCTCTGCAGGAGGGCTAGATAATGTGTGTGTGTTTCTCTGTGAACCCAAATGAGGTGGATTATTCCATGTAACTTCCCTTAACTGTTCCAAATTTGTGTTTCTTGTATTTCTTCAAAATATGTGATTCCTCTGTATTTACTTCATCTTCTTCTCCCCCACAACAGTCAGAATGGGACCTGTACAGTGTCCAGACGCCAGAACACCATCCAGGAGCTTTTGCAAAACTGTTCGGATTGCCTGATGCGAGCTGAGCTTATAGTACAACCCGTGAGTGCTTCTTGCTGTTCTTATCAAATGTGATCATGAATATTACAGGGAGCGAATGCTGTGTTGTTATCTGGACTCACAGGCTCTGCTGCTTCATCTCCTTTCTCCCCTTTCAGCTGTTTGTGTGAGGCAACTGCAAGTGTAATGGCATACCTCTTTCATGGATCTCTTTCTTCCCTCCGTACTCTGTTCAGTAAAACTGATTGAAATGCATCTGGTTAAGAAAAGGGGAAGTTCTTGATTTTTAGAAAAACCAAACCCATCCTCAAACAGATTGTAGTGCATCTTGTTTTTCAGTTTTAGGTTAGGACCACTGTCAGTGTAAAGAGCTGTTGCTAATATTATGACTACTTACACTCTTTCAGTGTGTCCTGTAGAATATTGTCATCATTTGCTGGGCCATAATGAACCTGAATCACCATAGGAAATACCTTCATTATCTTTATTTTATTTTTCCAGATGATTCATAAAGAAGTATATGAAACTAGATTAAAATATTCTTGACTGTTTTAGCTGAAATGCATACAGATGATCTTTACAGTACAGTAACCTGGTACAAACCCACAGTGCCTCTGAGTGGGTTACTCATTGATGCTAGATTCAGTCCCGGCAAACATGGGATGTCCTCTATTCCTGCTGAAGTCAGAGGAAATGCAGGGTGACGAGTGCACCCTGCTGCTGAGGCCACTGAGATGTGAAACCCCTTCACAGTTCTGGCAGTAAATGTAGTTTAATGCACACCTTTGGACCCTCTGCAGGCAGTAAATTCTTTCAGCAATGAACTCTGTGGTTAGCAGTTCATTTCCTTTTCAGAGATACAGGACATGAGAGCACATTTATGTAAAAATCAATGCCAGAGTAAATACTGTCTTTTGCTAAGGATTAATATTATTACAGTGAAGTTAAAAGAAAGACATGTTTAGTTCCAGCTTGGTGCCACAACATGCATTGCTTACTTTGTTTCTTTCTTTTCTTTCTAAGGGACAAAGTAATGAGGTCCATAATATTTTTTATTTGCAAAATCAGCTGGATTATGTTTTGTTCAGCATGGCTGTGTCAGTGTGGGGTGAGGTCAAAAAGCAGTGTCTTCCTGACTGAAACACCACGACCATGCTGGTCCACTGGACTGAGAGGGTGCATGGAGAATTTGCCTAGTTTTTGGGTGATAAGGTGGGATGCAAATGTGATGGGGCATGGAGCTGGAGCCAGGCAGACAGGGTGCAACCTGCGTTTTTATAGGAGGGGGAATTCTTAGAATCTCAGGGTAACTTGTGAAAACTCAGGAACAATATCTACCAACTCCCACAAGGACAGTGTTTGCTTCTCATCTTCTAAACACAAAAGCATAGTGTCTTAAAAACTTAGCACACTGTGTGAAACCTCAGTGAATGCTCACTGAAGTAAGCATTAGTCAAGATGTGCTGTTCTTTATGGAAAGTTTTGGTTGATACTACATTTTAATAATTTTCATATTTTATTTTAATAAGGACTTTCCAGCAACTGCAGCTCCTTAGTTAGTTGGCCTTCTGTCAGTTAAAATTGGCAATCAGAGACCTGGCAGTTGAAACTTATCATGCTTCAAAAATAATCAGTCCTCATAACATCTCTTTTAAGATATCCAAGATGAATATTTAATTTAATCACCCATTTTTTAAAAAAAAATTGTTTTGTTTGTTTGTTTGTTTTTGTTTTAGGAATTGAAATATGGGGATGGCGTCCAGATTAGAGGGAACAGAGATCTGGAAGAGTGTTTTGCACAGGCAAATGACCAAATGGATATCCTGGATGGGCTGATCAGAGAGATGAGGCAGATGGGCCAGCCCTGTGACATGTATCAGAAGAGGTATTGTCAAGGAAAGGTTGGGGGTGGGAATGTGAACTGATAAAAGTTTGTGGTATCTCAAGTGCCTGCCTTCCGTGGTGTTGCAGGATGTGACAGAAGTCAATAAGGTGGAACTACATCTAATTGGGGGCATGCTAACATGGAGAAGGGCCTTGCAGTAATGTATTTCTGATGGAAGTTCACGCCTTAGTTGTCTCTATGAAATTTTAGTTAGTACATTTTTTTCCACAGCTTTTGCTTTCAGCACTTTGTTTTGAATACCTGGTGGTCCAGTAAGAGAGATAAATGACATTGTTTCCATGCTTTCCTCATAGACACTAAGTGGTTCCTTCACTTTCAGGCTGCTTCAACTTCAAGAGCAAATGCGTGCCCTGTACAAAGCCATCAGTGTTCCCCGTGCCAGGAGGGCCAGCTCCAAAGGTGGTGGTTGCTTCTCCTCTCAAAGTGGCTCAGGCTGGGATGAGTACACAAAACGTGTCACAAGTGAATGTCTAAACTGGATGAGGCAGCAGAAGGTAAATCAGTGCAAAACCCAGAGACAATGCTAAAACTTGGTGTTGTTAATGAATGTCACCTCATATGTAGTAATGTTTTGGGTGCCAGTAGAAGAGTAAAAGTATTCATGAATGCTTGCATATTATTCCAGGTTCCTCTTCCTTACCCCCGCCACCCATCTCCCCAGTATTTTAATTACAGTGAATTTCCACTGAAATACAAACATGAATTTGGGGTCTTTTGCAGAGGAAAAAGTGTGAAAGTTAGATTTGAAAGCTAAATGGAACACAGCTGTTAACATAACAAAAGGCATTGGAATATTTGTGTTAGAAATTATTGTGCTCAATATTTCCCTCCTTCCTTCCTTCCTTCCACAGATTTCCTTTGATTCATATTTATTTTAACCCTTTACACAGATAGGACCATCTTCACAGATTTAACCATTATCCAGTGTTTTACGATTTTTCTCCCCCTCTATCTGTCTTTATCACAGTGGGAACCAAAAGGTAGAGGTGATTGCCACAGGGACTAGACTTTCAGAAGTCAGTGCTGAAATACACACAAAAGTGCTGAAGTTACTATCTGTTGCATTCCCAGAACAAATTTGCCTATGCATAGCTTCTGCTTGTGTAACCTGGAGTAGAAAACACACACTGAGAGCCCACAGTCTGTTTTCGTGCTGCTCCTCCTCTCTCCCTCTCTCCCTCACTGAATTCTCTCTCTCTCTCTGAATTTCTCTGTCTCCCCCTCTGTTTCTTTCTCCCTCCCTCTTCTTCAGTCCCTACAGAAAAGCTGAGGTGGGGCCAGTAAGCATTTAGCTCACTGGGAAAATCTGTTTTGAGCTTGCCATCGTGCCTCTTCTTTCCACCATGCCTTGCTGTATCCCAGTACATGCTCCCATTGAGACTAGGATAATGTTTCCCCTAGTAACGTGGTGAGATGTGGGAAAAAGTTCTGAGCACCTGAGGTTTTCTGCTGGTGTTTTTCTGCTTTTTTTTGTCTGGATGGTTTGCTGACAGGAGGATCAGGTGGGAGGAGGATTGGTCAAATTTCCAATGCAGAATTAGAGAAAGCACAGTGAAATCCAGCCTTTGTTCACATACTGGCAGCCAGCCATGACTGCCACTGTTGCTACAGTCTCTTTAGATTGTTCAAATATAACCAGAAGGGTCAAAGTCCTGTAACTTGTAAATGGCTGAATGAAAAATGGTTTTGTTTCTTGGATCATTTTCAACACTGCCTTTGAACCCCCATGCTTGAGAGTTGTTCTGGCTTTATTGTCATCTATTGACTCATAGAGATTTGACTCCAGGCCAGTAATTTCCATATTCAGTCCCAACCCAGAATGAAGATATCTGGTTCTTGACTATGCACATGCACAGACAGGTATTCAGACAGAGTCGTAGTGTGTCTTTACAGCATTAAGGAGGATCTGGAGTTTGAGGAGCTGAATTGTGAATTCAGTGGCTGTTAGTATTTGGAAAAAATGAAACAAAGAACTGCAGTCAGTTTTTGGATTGGTAATTATGAATAGTATTACCGTTTTCCAAGGCTGTTTCTAGAGACTTTCACTTGGCACCCTACAATAAATGTTGGCAAGATGCAAGACAAACAAAATGTTTATAATAATTTGAGTTTATCTTCTGGGTTTTTTCTTTCATTTAGTTTGACTGGATTTAACTCAAGTTACTGAAGTTTACATGAGCAAAATTAAAATGGAAATATAATGTATTGGGCTACAGAACTTAACTGGGTATTTTCATACGGATTGCATGAACAGCATTGTTTGATAAAGTCATAGTTTGTTTTCAGAGTGATAAGAATGTAACTATACTGTAGAACATAAAAGAATAGTTTGATCCAAAGAAAACAGATGAAAGTACACTACTGAGTGTGCTTCATCTAGTCTAATTACAAAAAAAATATTTTTCCTACTTAGTTTCTTCTGCTTTGGGAACCGGTCACAGAGCTTAAGTGATGACAATTTAAAGAAATTGTCACCTCCTATTCTGAATTTTCCTTTGTTCAGTTTTACTCTCTACTGCATAATCATGTTTTCTTCAGTTCCATTCTTTTATGCTCCAGTTTAGGTAGTAATGTTGGAAATGAAAGTACAAATACTGTTTCTTTCTTCTAGGCTGAAATGGAGCTAGTGAAGTGGGGGTTTGATGCAGCATCCATTGAGCAACAAATAGGAGACCATAGGAGAACTCACAATGCCATTGGAGACTATCGCTGGCACTTGGACAAAGTCAAAACAGATCTGGTAATTACTGACGTCCCTTACACATTGCTTAGTCTAGATTTATATCCTTGCTTTACTGGTGTTCCACTACAAAGAAGGAATATTGAGTAGTTCATCCTCTTTCCAGAAAGCACTGGTGTCATGATAGCTACCACTTTCAACCGTAATTTCATGATAAATTTGTGTTTCACTTCTTTTCCCAGATTTTGAAATGAAAATTTAGTAGCTATTTAACTTTTTGTTGTTGCATACCAAGGCTGGCAAGCAAATATTGCAACATTTTTCGTGAGAAGAATGACTAAGAATGATTATTCTCACTCGCTGTCTAGGTGTGTTAAACAAGAAAGTGAAAGAATAAGGTGGGTGCTCAGATCCGGGCTTGAGTCATCAGGTTTTTTTCTGTGAAGCATGCACAAATTCTGAGCTAAGCTTAAAGCTTTTCATAGGTGTTGATTTCTTTAATTTTTTTTCCCCTTCTGAGACTTTGTTCCATTATGAATTTTGTGATTGGAATAAAGAAGTCACTGAAAATGCAGTTAGCTTCCTCTGCTATCAGCCCAGCAATTACAGAGATGAGAGAGGAGGCTTATTTCATTTCCATTCATCTTTTCTCTAAATCGGGAGGAGAGAGTTCAGTCTAAAGAAAAGGCACTCTGTTCTGGAGCTCTGATTTCTCAACCAAGCTGAAGAGTGAAAGGGATATTACTCCTTTTTTCCCTTCAGTTTCAAATAGGAAAGGTGATAGTCTGGCCCTGTGGAATACCAGTTCCAAGGCTGGGCAGGTTATCAGCCATAAAAGTGGGAATAAAAATTGTGGCCTTCTGTTCACATTGTAATTTATAGTACTTCATAATCTCCAAAGCTAGCTCCAGGACTGGCTGGCCTAGGAGTTTGGTACAGAAAGAAATCCAGTTTCAAGAGTTGCATTGGTATTACAGGTGTTATGTGCAAACTTGCTTACATGCTAAGCATCCCTAAGGATAGTAAGTTTGTCTGAGGCTTGGTTTTATGCTTGCTGTGGTCCTCCAGTGGTGCATCCATCCATGTCTGTTGTAGGCATTTGCAAGTTACCACCTGCAGTTATTGTGATATTAACACTGTAAAGGAAATACTAGCAAGTAGGCAACTGGTGAAAAGCTCACTAAGTATTTCCTGTCTCTGTTTCAGCGGGAGAAGGCTGCAGTTCATCAGCTGGAGGAAGAATATGAAGGCCTGCTGGTGAGCATTAGATGTGTTCATTTCTGATAACCTCTATGACAAAGGTGCTTTTTGCTTTATTAACACTGGCATGGTAGTGAAGGGACACTTCAGGTTTTGACAGTGACAGAATTATTGAAATAATTCTATTCAGCAGTAAACTGACAGTGCTTTTTAGTTTCTCGATTCATTTTGAGTCATGAACTTGAGATTAATTTATTGCCTGGTATATAATTGACTTACTCCCACAAGGAAGTTTCTAGTTTGCACCTGGTGAAGGGAGTTGGTCACTGAGCAGGTGGAGAGTGGAACTCTACCTTCTTAATGGGTGTAAGCATAGCGAAGAAATCAGACTGTATACGATGCTTAAAAAGTTACTCAAAGGTGGGATTAGAACCAAGTTCTGTGTAGGGCAGTGCATCTTCCCTGCTTTGGATTTTCATATAAAACACAGTGAGAATCTTGTGCAAATGGTTTATTTAACCCTTGGGATCGGAAGCTGATTCCTGTGCACATTTCAAGCAATAGGATCTGTATTATGGTGTGAAGACAGAGAAGGTATTTTTCATGAAGTGTCATCTGTGCAAAAGGTGATTCTACAACATCAAAGATGTCCATGAGCAGCAAATGCAAGTAAAAGTGATGTTAAGTGTTCAGACATTTTTTGTACATTTCTTCTCCATGCCTTTTTCCTTGCCTGCATGTCTGCTACATGTGTGTTTGCAATGACTGCTGTTGTCAGGTTCCCATTTTTCTATAAATCCAGACACATTGTCCACTGTCCATTGCCATTAGGTTTCATAATTCAATAAGCCCAGGCACATTATCTGCTGTCCGTTGCCAACGGGTTTTATAGATGTGTGGGTTTTACTGTTATTTTAGTTAAAAAAAAAGAGGACATGCTGTGCTGCGCTCTTGGCTTCCCTTTCTCCACCCAGCACAGACATTCCTGTGTTTATGGCTTCTGATTTCTGGAATTCCTTGCAGAAATACTCCTTTGAGAGAATGGATCAGCTTCGTCAATTCCAGAACCTCATTCAGGCCACCAGCAGAGAGATCATGTGGATCAATGACTGTGAGGAGGAGGAGCTTCTCTATGACTGGAGTGACAGAAACACTGATATTGCCAGGAAGCAGGAGTCCTTCTCTGTAAGACAGCTCAACATCCTTCCACTTCCCATGGGCCCTCTTTTGGAATAGTGAGGAAGGAACAACCTCTCTTGGGACAGACTCATCAGAGGATGGGGATTTCTTCATGTTTCGAAGTTCTTGGGGATTTTGTCAACCCTTTTCAATTAAGTACAGTGTGACAATCTTTTGAGTCAAGATAGGACATCTGTTAGAAGATTGTGCCCTTATTCAATCAGTTGTCACGGTTTCTTCTGACTATGGAAGCTGGCCTTCTCGGCACAGTCCACTGTGGACTAGTGATCACATATAGCTTGTGCACCCAGTCACTATGTTGGCATGCTAAACTAAGGGACTTGAATCAGGTAGTTTAGTTCTCCCTGTTAGGACTATGTAGGGGCTCTGGGGTCCCTGTATTTGGCCCTGATCATCTGTCATCAGGAAGCAGAGCTGTACCAGAGGGAACTGCTCTCTTCCTCTGATGGTTTTACCAGCAGCACATAAAGTGCATGGTCTGATGTAGTTTGCGCTGCTCCTTCTCATCTGTGGGTATGTAGGGAAATTGAGCATGTGTGTTTGTTTAACCAGTGTTGGTGCTGATCATCAAACTGAAAAAGGGATGAAGGTTCATACTACTGAGGTACTTTTTCTTTTTTTAGTTCAATTGTTTTGGATGTTGCAAGATGTAGTCATTTTTACTTCCATCACTCCTAGGACAGGCAGAACTTTGTGTGCTTTGCTCTGTGAAGCAGCGAGCCCAGAGACTAGAACTGAGATAATTGTACCTTTCTTGATTCTACTGTCTTCATAATTAACTTCAGTACACCAAATAGAATTACTACATAATGTTAGCAGGGATAATTTTATTATTATCGCAACTCTCTGGAAAATTTAGAACAAATCATCCTGTGCAGTGTACCTTTGGGAGCTTGTTTAATGCTGTGTTTTTCTTGTTTAGAAACGCATGAGTGAACTGGAGCTTAAAGAAAAAGAACTTAACAAGCTAAAGCAAGAAAGTGACCAGCTAGTGCTCAACCAGCACCCTGCTTCAGACAAAATTGAGGTGAGTTAGACACACTTGTGCAATTTCACTTCTTCTTTAGTTGTTACATAAGAAAAGTTCTCAGTGAAAGTCCACAAATGAAGAGCTGCCTCTGGACACAAGAAGGGTTTGCCTGCCAAAAAGCATGTCCATTTTACCCAGCTCTATTAAATAAATGTTATTACCTTCCTCTACAAACCTGGCTGTAGCAACTGCACAATGATAGATGCATGTAAAAATTAATTCTAAGCTTGGGGAGTTATCTGAGGGTATGAAATTGCTGTATCTTGTTTGAGTTAACTACAGTGCAGTGGAATTTATGGTAGGAAGGCATGTCACTGTTGTTCTGCTATCTTAGTTGGCATGTTTTGAAAAAAGTCACACCCTTTGTTGAGGGTTTATATTTAATCCAGGTGCAAATACTTTCTCCAGCTGAAATTGATGGTGCCTTTCTACAGCTTAGCCAAGACAGTTTTGCTCTTGCAGCTTGGCATACATTTACCTTTCAATTATGAAGGCTGCAACAATTTGGAAGACCTCATTTTATTAGGAAATATTGTAGTTCTTATAATTTTAAGAGTGCATAAGAACCCTGAAACCGAAAGAAGCTACAAGGAAAAAAAAGATTAATCCTTTCCGCTTTTTAGTGCGTTTGCTTTTAACTGTTACTATGTTGTGTAAAATCACTTCTCCTATTTATCCCGTGGTCAGTTTCTCTCTTAAAAGAAAGATCCTTGTAAGCTCCAGCAGTGAAGTAAAAGTTGTATGTAATTTTCTAAAGCATATACATTATGACTGTGTGAAGATTTTGAATTTAAAACAACCAGCATAAAAAGTCATGTTAGGCAGTATTCCTTGGAAGGAGGAGAACATGGCAATTTGCAATTGAAATATTTCATTTGCAGTACTGCTTGTGCATCTCACCCTTTTTTGTTAATGCACCTCAGGCTTTATGCCTCTTCATGCAAGACGTGAACAGACTTCTCTTTGTGTCTCACAAGCAGGTATTTAACTCATTTCAGTGAGGTAGATGCTCAGAAGTTGCGGAACTATTTGCATGAGTTACACTGTTCTGGTCTGCGTGAACTTGTTTTTGCAGATTTTTCATTCGCATTTATGTGGGGCATAGGTAATTTTGCTTGAGTCTAGATATGGGAGAGAGACCAGTGTGGTGGTTTGAGTTGTATATATTACTGTTTTTGTTAGGCCTACATGGATACATTGCAAACTCAGTGGAGCTGGATTCTTCAAATTACCAAATGTATTGACGTTCATCTGAAAGAGAATGCGGCTTACTTTCAGGTGAGTAGTGATGTGGAGGATTCACATTACTTTTGTTAAAAGTGTGAATCCCATCACAGGTATATTTATTGTGCATAACACATTGTTACCACGTTATAAATGCTACCATTCTGCCAGAGATGAACTGGGATTTCTCATTAAAGGAGTCCATAATTTTTTAGCAGATATTTTTAAGAGCCATGTACAACCAAATTCACAACTATTCTTCTGTAGTTTTTTGAAGAGGCCCAAGCCACAGAATGCTACCTGAAAAACTTACAAGACTCCATCAGGAAGAAGTTCATCTGTGATAAGAGCATGTCACTGCAGACTTTGCTGGAGCAGATCAAGGAGCTGGAGGTACTGTCACACTCACCTGACGGGTTATGTTCTGTTTTTCTTGGAAATCAGCTGCCCTTTTCAGATACCAAATGTAAACCCAGGTGCACAGCAATGTTTATATACAGTACTGTAGGAACCTGAAACCACTATGGTATATTCCTGCCCATTTCACAGAATCACAGGGTATGTTCAGTTGGAAGGGACCCAAAAGGATCATCAAGTCAGAAAGCCTACAAATGGACCAGTGTTGTTTTAACTTGTGTAATACTGTTTGGAAATTCTAATTTCTTTCTAAACCTGTAATGAGTCCACCAAATTCCCAAGTTTCTGACATGCCAACAAATTAAAAAAAATGAAATTCTTTTTTCTTAGATGTTGAATAGATTTTAATTCAAAGGATAAATACATTCAATAAATGATTCTTCATGTCACTCTAACACTCCTGTCTCTTTGAAAGGACATAACTCAGCTTTTTTAGCTGTTTGCTTATCATGAATTAAGTACTACAATCTCAAATTGGAGAAGAATGGTGTGATGTAAAAGGCCAATTGATGAAGTCAGGTTTGAGAGTGTAGTTATTACCTTTTTTTTGTTAGTAATTATTTTGTTAAATTCTTTCAATTTAGGCCTGTGTTTCTTAAACATCACTGTAACAACATTGAAGATCTGTATGGAAAACCTGCTATGAAAATTTTGAAAACTTTGCACCTTGCCAGAGCTGCAAAGTTACTCAATTTGATGTTTCTCTTCTCTTTTTTTAAAACTGCAGTTTTACATTATAGGCCAAAGACTCATCCCACTAGAGCTAATGTAAGTTTTACCTACTGTCAGCTCCAGATGAACCCCTCTCTTAACAAAACAGTGGAAACTAGATGACATTTCTTTTTAGAATTATTTCATAATATACAATTAATTTTTGCAGAATGAACGAGAGAGAATTCTTGAATATAAGAGGCAAGTGCAGAGTTTGGTGAACAAATCCAAGAAGATTGTGCAGCTGAAGCCGCGTAACCCAGACTACCGGAGTAACAAGCCCATTATCCTCAAGGCTCTGTGTGACTACAAACAGGATCTGGTACTGTATCCCTTTTTGACTGAGAACAAACATCACATAAACTAGAACATGGCAAGTTAGTTAGTAAATAAACCGTTGACCCGACAGGTATAATCCCTCTGTCTGCTTTTGGTCCGCTTAAATTTCTTCAACAGAAAAAGCTCTTACTTTCTTGCAACTATGAATAAACATAATTTGGTTGGTTGGTTAATAAGTCTAGTTGTAATTACTAATGTTAATCAGTTAAATATCATTAATAATCACATTTCAAATTAGCATATAAAAGTCTTGTTGATAATAGGATTAGAATTGTTGATACAGATCTTCCCAGCGTCTACACTTTTTTTTGGTGATTGCTCACCTTTCCAGTGTCTCTCTGGATCCTTAGGTGAACATTTCATCTAGTAAAAGGTGAGGAGGATACCTTGGTACGTTGGTATCCCCATTTTTTTAATTGGTGGAGTATGAAATGAATGATGATATTTTTGTTTCCTCCTCCGTACTGAGGCTGCTTGGGTTTAGTTCTGTATTTTTTTTTCTTAACAGTAGGCTTAGATGCATTTTCTGCATACGTGCTCTTTCCTGCTCCATGTCCACACTTGTGGCTGCACTGTGTCAGGATTTCTGGCAGTTGGGGCTTGGTGAATCTAGTTCTGCCATGCTCACTCACAGTCTCTTTGCAAATATGGACACAGCACTATGCATGCTTAGGCCTTGAGCTCACTGGCTTACAGCCATACATGGTTGCATAGTTTACCATGGCCATGTGTCCACATTCAGTCTTTGATGTTTGTCAGGGCAAGCCCCAAGCCTGATGATGAACCAGACTGGCAACTGCTCAGTGTTCTGTGGCTCCTGCTTCCTTTTTTTGTTTGTTTTTGTTTTCTCTACATGGAAACCAGATTCAGGGAGAAGGGGTTGATCTATGCTGATGTCTTGCCCCAGTATGAAGCCAACGTGCACACCCAGACCTGGCAGCTGGGAAGCACTCCTGCTTTTGTGATAGTCATACATCTTCCTTGTCTGTCTCTCCTAGAAACTCCATCTTAACTAAACAAAACAATTGTTATGTGTTCCTTGCAGAAAACAGTGCGCAAAGGAGATGAATGCATCCTGAAGGACAATAATGAGCGCAGCAAGTGGCTGGTGACTGGCCCTGGAGGAGTGGATATGCTGGTGCCATCTGTCAGTCTTATCATCCCACCCCCCAATCCTTTAGCAGTGGATCTTGCTACAAAGTGAGTTGCTGCCTGCATTTGAACACCTGCCATTGGGATTAGATAGAAGAGTTCACTCAAAATATCAACCAGTCACAAAATACGACCTGAGCCTTGATTGGAGTTCACTCCCTCTGCCCCGAAGGATAGGGGATTAAGGACTAGACCATTGACTTGAAGGTCATACTTCAGTGAAACTTGCTGGGATCTAGGTTGGGGCCCAAAAATATTTAAACACGAGCTTCTACAAGGATTTTCTCATCTCTAATAATGAAAGTCATGGATAAATTAATTTCCAAGATTTTTTCAAGTAGGGAACAAGCCTTAATGCACTTCACATGTGGTGAATGTTTCTTGGGATGTTTTGTAGCTGTGCTACAAGGACAGATGCATTTTGATCATGCATTTTCTTTTCTCATGTCAGAATTGAGCAATATTATGAAGCTATTTTAGCTTTGTGGAACCAGCTGTATATCAACATGAAGAGCCTGGTGTCTTGGCACTATTGCATGATCGACATTGAGAAGATCAGAGCGATGACTATTGCCAAGGTAAGACACCAGCTGGCCTTACCTGCAGACCAGAGACATCCATGACCTGATGACTACTGTCCCAAACAGAGCTTGCAGTATCCTGGGCAGATCTATGTTCTGCGAAACCATGAACCTTCCTTTCGCTAGGTTGCACAAATAATTACATATGGAAGTTGCAATTTTATTAAAGGAGAAGCAAAATGATATCCTATTCAAATATGATATGGATAAACAGAAAGATTAGCTAAGGGATTAGCTATTATGTACTTGCTGTACTTGTTCCTATTGTGCAAGTGCATGGATAGACAGAGTAAGAGGTAGAATTTCAAACTATTCTTAGGTTATGGAATGATTGTAATAAGAATAGATTAGCTCAGTGTGTAGTCTTAGCACCATACTTCTAGAGTTAGTCTCGGTAGGTTTTGTCTAGCTATTACTTTGGGGTTTTTTCTAGGTGTATTAGTTTGATCCATATTGATTAAGTAGTCATAAACCTTTCCCAGTTGCTTTTCTTTTTTTATTTTGTTTTTTTAAATTCCCTTCTTCTTTATTTCAGCTGAAAACAATGCGTAAGGAAGATTACCAAAAAATAATAACTGACCTGGAGATCCATTATCAAGAGTTCCTCAGGAATAGCCAAGGCTCAGAGATGTTTGGTGATGAAGACAAACGAAAGATCCAGACTCAGTTCACTGATGCTCAGAAACACTACCAAACCTTGATTATACAACTGCCTAATCAACCACGACAGCCACAAATAGGTTTGTCATCCTCCTGGTTTTTGGAGAGTTTAGACTGCTTGGGTTTCTTTGTTCCAAGGGTTATGCATGGTACATTCTTTTTATGTGAAAATGTTCTCTTGAACAAATGAATTGAAACGTGTTCAAGAACTATTCTGCTGTCTCCCAGCGTAACAGAGTTGGTCATGTGCAGGGAAGATTTTGTTCTTTCCTCCTGTGGTGGGAATCTGGGAATAGTCCTCCAAAGATCACGGAACTTGCTGGGGAAATGAGAGGAATTTAGTCCATTTGATATGTTTTCAGTTATTAGGACGCAAAATCTCACTGCTGTGATTGGGGAAGCAAGTTTGTCTTTTTGTGAAAGAGCGATTTCATTCCCTGAAACAACTGCATAAGGGCCCAGATCTTCTGCCTGTTCTCAGTTCTACAGATCCACTCAGTGCTTAGATCACTTGGGCAGCACAATGGCTTCCTGTATGTGGGTGTTCAGTTCTCTGGTAGTTGACATTTACCCAATTCACGTTGCAGTGGTCCCGACTGAGACCTGTCCTGTGGGTTCCTCAAACACGGTTATCGTTAATGAGAGAAACCGAGAGCATGAGAAGCAGGAGGCCTGGCTGCTGATGGAGCTTCAGAAACTTCGGCGTCAGATTGAAGCTTCTGAGATTCAGATGGTTCAAAGAGCTCCTCTTGGAGTGGATCAAGGGGCTATGCATGACTTTTCAGTCAGAATAAAGGATTTAGAGGTAACCGTGGATATTTTTCTTGGAGCACCTCAAACTCAGCATGACTCTATGCTGCAGAGCATACTGCAGTTCTGCTTCTGATCAGTTGGGGAAGACACACATCCTGTGCAGAAAATTCTCAGTTGGAAGCTAACCGTGATGATTTGGATTGGAGTTAAGCTTCTAGGTAGAAAAAGTTGATTCTTGAATTTTAGAAGTAGCATTCTGCCCAGCAAAGAATACAGGAAGACTGATCTCAAGTGACATGAGCTTGTGTTAAGCCTCATCCGGGGTAAAGCACTGTTAAAACCCTTTTCCAAGGACCCTACTTTACTAACTAACTGTGAAGTGCTGTCTGTGGATTCAGACTGGATACATGAGTCCTTCAAACTCTCTCCCTCTCCTAGTTCTTAAGATTTATAGGAGACTGGAGAGAGAAGATTAGTTAGAAGGGAGAACAGGTTTAGCATGTGAGAAATTCCCCTGAATCAATGAGGTTGCAAAGGTCTTAAGAGCAGAAGGACTTTGGTATGTCTGCCAAGTGCAGTAGGCAGCTGGCAGTAAAGAACTTTGCTTTCAACAGAGCTGAGTTTCAGAGTGGAGGGGCTCAAAAAGCGGTATTACCTATTGCAGACTGTCCAAAAAGAAACTGCTCAGTATTACTTGCCTTGAAGAAAGCAAGCTCAGTTACTGCTTCAGTCCTCAGTCAGGCTGGTTATATAACAGTAGACTATTTGGATAAGGAGACCAATTCCACACGTGCTGTAGAATGATGAGCCAACCAAAAATGTGTAAACCAGGCATTCTCTTTCCTTAGGGTGTGCAGAACGACTCTCAAATAATGGCTGAAACCCTCAATAAGCATAAGGACTTGCTGCCTAACTTCAGAGGCTGTGAAAAATATGTGTACTTGCAATCAGAGATAAATGCCCTATTTCAAAAGCTGGAAAATATTAATGGTGTTTCTGCTGGCTACTTAGACAGGTAAGAAAATTGAGGTTATAGCCATAAATAGTCACTTTGTTCTATAATGCTTAGTCCAGATACCTGCCTTTTGTTAAGAGTAATGTAAAATTCCACCTTCTTTTCTACAAATTCTGTACATGTGGGTAGAAACAGACATGTGAATTTCTTCTCTCTTCTGGAATACTTTAAAAAAAGAAAGTGAGAATCATGGGTATCACAGAAAATTCTTGTGTTATCTGTTCTTTTTAACTAAACATCTGCAATTAGAAATATCACCTTTCCTTCCCCAGTCCACAATGGATTTGTCTTGTATTTTTTATTTTAGCTTGAATGCACTGAGGTGTCTGCTCCAGGTTATTCTACAAACAGAAGATGTGATCAGAGTTTTTGAAGTCAGGCTGTCTGAAGAGGAGACTGTTCCTTTGGATCTTGATAAAGTAGAGGCTTACCGGGCTTGTCTGAAGGTGAGAGGCCAAGACCCAAGGACACAGAAAGGCAAAATTTGTAGCTGCTAGCACTGATCTGTTGAGCTGGGTGGAACCCTTGGAAACTATCGGAGATAGAATTGCTGATCTTGTTGTATTTTATACATAGACATACAATGCTTTTGTAGATTGGGCACGGTGCCACTGGATGGTTGAGGGAGGTGATTGTCCTGCTCTACTTTGTGCTGGCGCGACCTCACCTTGAGCACTGTTTTGAGTGCACTTTCGGGGGCCACAATATAAGAAAGATACAAAGCTATTAGAGAGGAACCAGAGAAGGGCTGTGAAGGTGATGAAGGGTCTAGGGGGCATGCCATACAAAAAGTGGCTGAGATCACTTGGTCTGTTCAGTCTGGAGAAGAGGAGACTGAGGGGAGACCTCATTGCAGTCTGCAACTTCTTCACAAAGGTAAGTGGAGGGGCAGGCACTGATCTCTCCTCTCTGGTGACCAGTGATAGGACCCAAGGGAACAGCATGAAAGTGCCAGGGGAGGTTTAGATTAGATATTAGGAAACAGTTCTTCATTGAGAAGTTGGCTGGGCACAGGAACAGGCTCCCCAGGGAAGCGGTCATAGCACCAAGTCTGACAGAGTTCAAGAAGCGTTTGGGCAACACTATCAGGCACATGGGGCTGTCCTGTGCAGGGCCAGGAGTTGGACTTGAATGACCCTTGTAGGTTCCTTCCAACTCACAGTATTCTATGATTCTATGGAATTAATGAAAGGAATATATGGGTTATTACTTCTTCCATCCTCAGGTTGTTGCTGCCCCCGCAGCAAAAGCAGTTACATGGAAGCTTTCCATTATCCATTTCTGTACAGTATTATCCATGTTTATTTGCATCACTCGTGAAGGTAGATTTGAAAGCAGTATCTCCTTTCTTGCAAACAGGCTTGTTAATTGCCCCTGTTGTTCTCTAGATGTAACACGTAAACTTGAGTATTATTGTGTGTCCTGGTTTTGGTATAGGGTCCTTGTCAAATCTTATAGTGAAAAGTATCCATCCTGTACAAGGGGAGAGGGCAAATAACTGTGCTGAGCACAAAGTTGGCTTGCAGATCCAGTCTTTTTCTGCCATTGAGCTGGACCTTTTGTGCACTGAGTGCATTTGGGAGAACAAGGACTCTTTCATTGTTTCCTGTTCTTAGGTGTAGTAGGGAAAAAATGTGTAGGTGTCACAAATGGAGTACTAGCAAGTCACCTTTTTATCATTTTAAATAAGAGCTGCAGTTTAGTTGCTGGGAGTTGTTCTTAACTGGTGTAAATTTGAGCTACACAAAAAAAAAATAAAATAATGCCTGAGCATATTATCAAAGGCTATAGCCATCCCTGTGACTGGGGGATGCAAGGCAGACCACTGCCTACACTGTATGTTCCATTTGGTGATACCCTACGATATGTGACTATGTGTACACAAACAAGTGTGTGTGTAAAGAAACATCTCCATGTAAGATGTTTATAAAAATGTAAACAGGGGAAAAAAAAAATCCGTGCTGATTTTTAGATGTTTAAAAACTGGATATGCCACTCCCAAGGCTTGATTCCACAGCTGTTGCAAGTGCAGGAATTTTTTTGCTTCAGTGAAATTTTCTAGTCAGTTGTTTCTAGGAACAAGTAAGTCTCTTGTTCTGCTCTGGTAACTGCTCTGCATAATTCTGAGAAACTGAAGTGTTCTCTTCGGAATATGACCACAGAGGGCTTTGGTTTAGCAAATTATTTAAAGTCTAACTTTAAACAGATTTTTAAGCCAAAATGTTCACCAAAGTAGGTGTTTCACTTTAAATATATTAAGTCCAGCTGACATCACTATACGTACCTTATTGATTTAGAAACAATATCTTTAGATCCCAACACATTGTGCATGCTGTTAAATTGGTTAAATTTCAGTATCTTCTCAACAATAAAATATATGATAGCATTTTCTTTTTTCTCCAGAAAATGAAAGCAGACCTAAATATGAAGAAGTCACTACTGAATACCTTGGAAAATGAGCTGCAGAGAACACTTCAGATTCACTCACAGTCTTGCCAGTCATATACTCTGTATGACATGGACATTGGAAAGTACTGTGACAAAGTTACCCAGCTAATAGACCGCTGGCAGAGAGCTGATAAGCAGATAGATAACAGGTTTGTTCATATTTCCACAGCTTTTTTCTTATTGCTATTGCTACCAAGATCATCTTAAGTGAGTCTAAAAGAATGGATGTGCACTAACCTTCACTTCCAAAGGACAAATGGTGTCTTCAGGGCAATAAGACTTGAGCAACTGTGAATAGATTGAACATACTTTAAAAAGGATTGTGTAAGTCCAAGCAGAAAAATGTAGGTTGCCATGTAAATGTCTAATCTATGTGCTAAGGAGCTGTTCTCATTTTCTTTTTTGTTTTAATTCTTGATAATGTCCTTGGATTAAGTACTTCCGATCAGCGGTTTCCCTCCCAAACAAAGCAACCGTGTTTATTGCTGAATACCCTATACCTGAGGATTAAAAAAATAACAGTAGGAATTAAGTAAAAAAATCTGGATCTTGTATCTGAATCTTAAACTGAAGGCATATTCTGATTATTTGTGGGTGGGGTGAAGGTTAGGGTGTGGTTTGGTTCAGTTAATTTTGTTTTTACTTGAGGACAAAATGTAGTACTACTAATAAAAATTGACTGGTTGCTGGTTGTTCAGTGAAAATTTAGAACAAGAATCCTGAAGTCAATGAACTTGACTCTTGTGACTGCAAGGTTTTATCCATCTCTAACTTAATTGACAGGAAGGCCCAACCTCTGTGTATTAGTTACTCAAAAATAAGGCACTAAAACCCCATATCGGATGACTAATAATCAGTAAAATTCTCATTTATTTGAAATTTTTGTTCAGAATCTCTTATTCAGAGCTTCCCATAGTTTTACATGGTTTACTACTGTGTCTCATTTTTGAAAATTGTGCAAAGAGAGAGAAAGAGAATGCACTTTGACATTCATTTTGACTTTTTTTCCCTTTTTTTTCTAGATTGTGGGATTTAGAAAGGCAGATCAAACAGCTGAAAACTTACCGAGATCTCTACCAGGCTCTGTGCAAATGGATCTGTGATGCCAAGCGTCGGCAGGATTCTATTGAGTCCACGAAGCTGTGCGATTCCAACACTATCATGAGATATCTACATGATCAGAAGGTATGCAGCACCTGAATGAGTGTTATCTGTTATTCTGTTATCTGTTTTGCTGTACAGAAAATATCAGTATCAATGCAGTCTGCAATTCAGTGGCCTGTTTTCAATTAAAAAGTACATAAGCTACCAAAAACCACCGTGTCTAGAAGGCAGGGGAGAGGAAATATTATTATCCTCATTACTTTCTGTCAGCACTGCTACTGATTATGAACAAGACTGTTTTTGGCTCCTATGCTGACACTTTTACACATCAGCTTTGAATTAATTCAAGGGACTGTAAGATGGTGCAATTTATGGGACAAATTACAGCACAAAATGAAAAGTGAGGAAATAATCTGAACTAAAGTCAAGGAACTCTCCCTCCCCACCACTGGGGTGTGTTCAGTTGTTGGGTGTTCTTTCTGAGAACAACCTACTCATGCACAGAGAGCTTGCTATTGCAAAAACAGCCCACCTACAGGTCACTTCAGGTCTCAGCCCCAGGGGTTGCAGTAGTCTCCTGCTGCAGGTGCTTTCTGATGGAGGCAGCGTGTACAGGAGGAAATACTGGTAAATCTTGAGGGAGTGTTTCATGGTTCACTTTTTTCTTGACAGAACTTGCACAGTGAAATCTGTGGGAAGAGAGACAAAGTTGAGGAGCTTCTCAAGCATGCAGATCAGTGCTCAGCTGCAATTAAGGTACTTGGGTCTCAGCATTTTTATGGGGTGTGGTTTTTCATGGTCAGGTGCATCTCATTGTTATTGTCATTCTCTGCTGACGGGTGAGAAGTTGGCTCCCTGATGTGTGTGTACAGAAATTGCTGGGGTAAAGCACTTTTGTGTATAAAATACAATGAAAGCAATTTTGTACTTGCCACCTGAAGACTATGGGATCATGCAGAAGGTACCAGTGAGAGCTTCTCTTCAGGTGAACAGAAGCCTCCTTCTAGCCAGACTAAACTTTCCAGTTCACATGTTAAAAAATGTAAGGGAATGAATTGGTATCTTATGAATTCGATCTGATTAGGATCTGATCTAGGAGGAAAGACAAATGCAGGTTTAGCAAGAGGAATGGTGTGCAATAGCCATGCAAACCAATAACATACAGAGGGAATGGTTTTGTGGTCTTTGTATTTTTATGTCACCTTTATATCTGTGCTTTCTACAGCTCAGTCTTACTCTCTCTGACAAAGATTTTGCTAAATATGTGACATATGTGGCATATGTGATACAAAAGTGATGGAGAGACAGTTATTTCTAATGAAGTTTTGGTTGATAACAGTGCTTAGAGTAGTTGCTCCCATGAATCTTTCTCATTTCCACATAGTGCTCAACTAACAGAAACACTTGTCTTCTCTTTTTTGTAGAACATTTTTTCTCTTTTTTCCTTGTCATTCTCCCCTATGAATCTCCACAGTGGTACTTGAACTGATGAGCTTCTGCTTATGACAGAGGATCATCTGAACATGGCCAGAAATATAAACAAGGGAAAAACATAGCTTTTATTAAGAAAACAAAACCAGAACAACCCAGAACTTTGCATTTTCTGAGATACAGATTCCCACAGAATTCCTTAGCAGTTGCTAAAGAGGGCTTACTTTTCGTCTTGTTTTTCAGGACTATGAACTACAGGTTGCTTCCTACAGTTCGGGATTAGAAACATTGCTCAACATACCTATCAAGAAGAGTGTGGTTCAGTCTCCTGCAGTGCTGATTCTACAAGAGGTATCTTTCTTTCCTCCCCACTAATCTTTTGAATACATTTGTTTGTCCATGTAAGCCATTCTGAGTCATATCCAGATGTATTCTAATAATTAGCACTGTCACTGGCAATGTGCACTAAGCACGTAAGCACAAGGAATTAGTGCAGAATAGTCTTTGTGCTGTAAAATCAGACTTGGGCTTGTTTAGACAGTAGATTAGCCCTCAGGAATTTACCTCATTCCTATTCAGTGTCCATTGCATACATATTGTGAGAAAGGAAGATTCGTGCCCCAAGTGGTTTAGTCACTTTCAACCTGGGAATTAACTACTATTAAAAATTTAACTGAGGTTACTCGTGACTGTCAGACAGGAAGAGCACGATGAACCAGGGGATGAAGGCTTGGGTTTAATATCAGATCAGCCATGGGGGAAAACAATCTTGAAAAAAAAAGTGTGGGTTTTTCAGAAGGAAAAATTTGTATATTTGGGATCCTCAGAAAGTCATGTGAATTTGTGAGGAGAATTTGCTTTTTACTTTGTCAAGCGATATGTTTCCTCAAGTGGATTGGAATCTTCTAAATGATCTGGGCATAGCTATATTCATATCTAACTCTGTGGTACAAGCTGCTAACAATTATCTTTTTTTTTTTTTTTCAAGGCTAATGAGGCTCAGTCTCGCTATATAGAGCTTCTTACAAGATCAGGAGATTATTACAGATTCTTGAGTGAAATGTTAAAGAGTATGGAGGACTTGAAGGTATTCTAATCCTTTTATTTTCTTTACCTTTTATTTTTATCATATATTAGTAAACTATCACTGACCAGAGACAGAATGTACAGTGTAAAATAGTGCACAAAACTATATCCTGAACTCAGAGGTGTCCTATGAAGGAGACATACTAGCAGTGTCATGCATTTTTTGTGAAAGAGTACAGTGTCTTACAAAGTTACCTCCAAGGTCATGTAGGAGGTGAGGTGGAGAACACTGCCCTTCTTGGTAAATAGGAGGTGCTCATCAAAGCATGTAAGAGATCCTTCTCTACCCATCCCAGCCTTGACCTCAGTGAGAGTACAGTTATGTCAGTGCTGAAAACTTGCTCCTCACAGTTAAGGGCACCTCATATTCTAAAGTGTATCAAAAGGAGCAATTCCTGCTTTGATACAGCTCAGTGAAAGAGAGAGGCCCATTTAGGAAGTCACATATACAGAATGTGATGCCCCTGTTTGAAAATCGTGGATGTTCTAAAGGCGACTATTTCATACTTCGCCAGTGAACTTTTGGTACACCAGATTTTACTCTCTGTATTGCATCTCCCTCCCCTCATCAAGTATCATTTCCCCTCTGAAAGTCATTGTGCTTTTTTCTGAATAAGGTTTGACTCTGAATAAATAAGGATTCCAGAATTTGTCTTGATGACATTAAATAAAAAAGGATTTTTAGCTGTCATTGAAGGAGTGAAAAAAATACTTTCAAGTTGTCAGTGTTACATATTGTATATTGTATTGCATGTGATGATTTTGCAACAGTTGTCACAAGCATTTATGTGAGTTTTTCTGTTTGTTTGTCTTTCTGCTATCATGTTGCAGATGAAAAACACCAAAATTGAACTTCTGGAAGAAGAACTCAGGCTTGCTAGGGATTCAAATTCAGAGACAAGCAACAAACATAAATTCCTGGAGCAAAATCTGCAGAAGTACCAGATGGATATTTCTCAGCTCAAGGCAAAGCTGATGAGTTTGGAGGAGATGAAAAGACAAGCTGAAATGGATGGAAATTCTGCTAAGCAAAACCTGGACAAATGCTATGCCCAAATAAAGGATCTAAATGACAGGATAACCAGGTTGACTTATGAGACTGAAGATGAGAAAAGGAAAAGGAAGTTGCTGGAGGATAGATATGAGCAGCAGAAGAATGACTATGACCAGCTGCAAAAAACAAGACAAAATGAGAAAGACAGCCTTGGTTGGCAAAAGTTAGAGTCTGAGAAGGTCATCAAGGAGAAGGAGTACGAGATAGAAAGATTAAGGGTTCTTCTTCAGGACGAAGGCACACGGAAGAGGGAGTATGAAAATGAGCTGGCTAAGGTAAGAAACCAGTTTAGCGAGGAGATGAGTAATTTAAAGAACAAGTATGAAACAGAAATTAATATTAAGAAGACCACAATCCAGCAGATAGCTGCACAGAAAGATGATGATGCCAAAGGCCTCAGAGCCCAGGTTGACAGACTGACAAGAGAAAACAGAGACCTTAAGGATGAGATTGTGAGGCTGAATGATGCCATTCTGCAAACGACAGATCAACGGCGGAGGGCAGAAGAAGATGCTCTTCAGCAGAAGGCTTGCAGTTCTGAGGTGTCACAGCAAAAGCATCAGTTAGAGCTGGAGCTGAAACAGATCATTCAGCTTCGTGGTGAAGACAACTCAAGATACAAGCAGGCTCTTGAGGAGGCTGCCTCAACTATTCAGGATAAAACTAAGGAGCTGGAAAGGCTAAAGCTTCAGCTTCAGGAAGAGGCTAAAAGCCGATGGGAACTTGAAAATGAATTGGCTAAGGTAAGAAACAGTTATGATGAGGAAATTATTAGTTTAAAGAACAAATATGAAACTGAGATTAATATCACAAAGAACACAATTCACCAGGTCACCATGCAAAAGGAAGAGGAGACAAATAATTATAGAACACAGCTTGATAATGCCATGAGAGAAAATAGGAATTTGTGTGAGGAAATTAGGAGACTGAAGAATACAATAAGTCAGACAACAGATAATCTACGGAAAATAGAAGAGAATGCTCAGCAGCAGAAGGCAGCTGGCTCAGAGCTTTCTCAGAAGAAACAGCAGCTGGAGATTGAGCTAAAACAGGTTATTCAGAGGCACTCTGATGAAAGCATGCGGTACAAGCAGTCACTTGATGATGCTTCTAAGACCATTAAGGAAAGAAACAAAGAGATTGAAAGGCTGAGAAAGTTGTTGGATGTAGAAACAAGTCAGAGGAAAGAAGTGGAGGATGAAAACAGTCAGTTGAAAAGAGTCCAGTTTGACCTGCAGAAAGCAAACACGAGTGCTACTGAGACAATTAACAAGCTGAGGATCCAAGAGCAGGAACTGGCCAGACTGAAAATTGACTATGAAAGAGTTTCACAAGAGAAAAAAGGCAGGGATCAAGAAACTGCAAAGTTCCAGAGCACTGTAAAAGACTTGCAGATCCAGAAACATAAGTTGGAGGAGGAACTTTGCAGACAGAATAAAAATTTAATGGAGGAGACGTCCAGGAGGAAGAAATTGGAGGAGGAAGTAGAAGGCATGAGGAGATCTCTCAGAGACCAATCAGTTAAAATAACTAATCTTACACAGCAGATAGAGGAAGTGTCTATTGTAAAGAAGAGAAATGAAGATGACCTTAGACACCAAAGAGAAGTATTAGATGGTCATGTGAGAGAGAAGCAAAGATACATGGAGGAGATAAGAAAATACACATCCGATATTGAGACTTTACGTCGTCAGTTGGTCCAAGAACAGGAGCAATTAAAACAGGCTCACCTACGATATGAGCACTTACAGAAAACCTCTGAGGAAAAAAGCAAAGCCTTGAATGAGTGCAAAATAGAAATCGAAAGGCTTCAGTCTCTCACCGAGAACCTAACGAAGGAACACTTGTTACTGGAGGAAGAGCTGCGAAATGTTAGATTGGAGTACGATGATCTCAGAATGGTCAGAAGTGAAGTTGATGAGAAAAATACCACCATTGCTGAACTAAAGAATCAGCTTCAGATGAGCAGCAAGCAAACCCTGGAACTTCAGGGGTTGATTAATGATTTACAGAAAGAAAGGGAAAAATTGAGACAGGAAATTGAAAAATTCCAAAAGCAAGCTCTAGAGGTATTCAAATATATTTTGATCCCAGCTTTACTGTCTCTCAGCTATATAATTAATTGCAGTGTCCATTTGAACAAATTAATTCACCCTTTGCTGTTTGAAGTCACTGCACTTGTGATTAACATTCCCTTTATGACTTTCTCTTATTAATTTTTAAATAAAAATGGCAGGATTTGGCTGCTACCTTAGCTACCTTAGCCTGTTTACTCCCTGGAAGTTCTAGGGATCCATAAGCTGTCTTATCATCTAGCCAAGCCTTGCCTTCAGCCCTTGCCCCAGGAGAAACATGGGCTCCGTGCCAGCCTCCACCAAACCATCCTAGGGGAAGATGAGAGTAAATGGAGTACAACTGTGCTTTAATCGTCCCCTGCTGGCTGTGTGCTTCCCTGGGGTATTTCAGACAGGATGGGTTAAAGCAGTCCTTTGAGGCTGACCTGAGTGCTGTCACAAACTAAACTGGCTAAAAACCCCAGAACCAACAAGCTGTCAAAGTGCTGCTTAGCTGGTAAGGTGGTGACTACAAGTGAGGATTAAAGATCATGTTGTCAGCTGTACCTAAAGTACTTAGAGCCTACATTTCATTGACTGTTTTGGGGATTTATGTTCCTAAGTCACCAAGGGGATTTGCAAATTTTATGATTGGCCCTTATTTCTAAAACTCTAGGTGACAACATAAGTTAAAGAAAATATTTTTCGTATTTTATTCTGCATGGTTTCTTGTTCAAAGAGGTACTCTTTAAATACATACAAGTGAGCACTTGTGAAAATGTTTGTTTTTTCTTATATTTTCCCCTTTTCTCATTCCCATTCCCAGTTATTCTTTCCTTTATTCAGTTTTTCTTTCCTTTATTTTAAAAATCTTAATAATGGTTTCTAAAAAATACTAACATTTAGGATTATATAACATCTGTGCATATATATGTATCTATGCATGTGTTACAAACAGATAAACTTGTATTCAGTTTAATATGGACTGCATACAAATATGCATGCTTGTGGGTGTTTGTGTATGGGTGTACAGATATGAAGACATTATGTGAATTAAAACGTAAAGCAACACAGGTAAAGTTGTTTGGAGTAACATATGAAACTAACAGGAAAGCAAAAATCAAGTAATATATTTCCTTTTTATCCTCAGCCCATAGAAATTCATCCAGGTTAGTAGGACTGCCAGGGATGGGGATGTCTGCTGAGCATCAGATTATTAGTTAGTCTTGAATGCTCTGTGTATTTGTTGGTGTACTGTGAGTAGTATCAAAAAGTTATAAAGAGAGAACTAAATCAGCAGAAAATCAAGGCTATGGATAACAGAATGGAGTCTCCAAGTCTCAGGTGGTACTAGAGACACTGTCAGTGAAGGGATAATGTACCTTCTCTGGTTTAAGTGTATCTATGGTCTTGGGTAAGGCACTGCTGTGACTAGCATGTTTTCCAGTGGCAGCTTGCTGCAGGTTAAATGACAGGCTGAAGAGCATTTTAAGTGGAGGAAATAACTCTAACCAGCATAAACTCTAACCATCCTTTCTTGGTTTATTTCTCCTTCACAATTGTAGGCATCCAATAGGATTCAAGAATCCAAAAATCAGTATAGTCACATTATGCAAGAAAGAGAAACCCTGCTGATAAAAATGAGTGCTTTGGAGCAAGACAAAGCCAGGCTGCAGAGATTAGAAGAGGAGCTGAACCGTTTGAAAGTTACCCTGGAATCAGAGTCACGTTTGAAGCAACGCCTGGAAAGTGAGAAGCAACAAATACTGAATGACCTCAATCAGTGGAAGAGCCAACACTCCCGAACAGAGGAATCGATAAGGAAGATCCAATGTGAAAGAGAGAAGAGTGAGAGGGAGAAGAATAGCCTGAGGAGCGAGATTGAAAGGCTGCAGATGGAAATCAAACGGATTGAGGAGAGATACCGGTGCAGACTGGAAGAGACCACTGTCAAAAACCAGTCGGAGCTGGAGTCCGAACGTCTCAGGCTGCAAAGAGAGATTGAGAAACTGAAGCAACGCCCATATGGGTCTCACAGATCTACGCAGACTGAGGAAGACTTTTGTATTGATGCCTCCAAGCTGCTGTTCAGTGGGTTGCGGAAGAAGATTACAGCAATGCAGCTGTATGAGTGTCAGCTGATAGACAAACTCACACTGGATAAACTGCTGAAGGGGCAGAGGTCGGTGGAAGAAGTCGCGGCTGACATTGAACCCTACCTCAAAGGGGCAGGAGCTATTGCAGGGGTGTCGCTTTCGCCCAGACAGAAGTACTCTTTTGTGGAGGCCAAACGGAATCAGCTGCTTACAGCAGAAAATGCAGTCCTGCTCTTAGAAGCCCAGGCAGCAACAGGAGGTGTGATAGACCCGCACCGGAATGAGATGTTGACCGTGGACAGTGCTATTGCCAGAGATCTGATCGACTTTGATGACAGAGAACAAATCTATACAGCAGAAAAGGCTATTACAGGTTTTAAAGATCCTTTCTCAGGCAAAACTGTGCCAGTATCTGAAGCCATCAAGAAAAATTTGGTTGACAGAGAAACTGGGATTCGTCTGCTGGAAGCCCAGCTGGCTGTAGGAGGGATTGTTGATCCTGTCAACAGTGTTTTTCTACCCAAAGATATAGCTTTATCTCGTGGATTGATTGACAAAGACCTCTACAGGTTACTAAACAACTGCCAAGGCAATGCAAAGAACTTCATTGATCCCACTACCAAAAAGGCAGTCACTTACATGCAGCTGAAGGAAAAATGCAGGATTGAACCACACACTGGTCTGCTCCTACTTCCAGTGCAGAAGAGGAGTATGTCCTTCCAAGGGATCAGGCAGCCCGTCTCAGCAGATGCACTGCTTGAGGCTGGAATAATCAAGGAATCAACAAGGAATGACTTGGAAAGAGGCGCAATTACAGTGGAAGAAGTGAGCGAGAGAATTATCGATTTCCTTCAGGGCTCTAGCTGTATAGCTGGTATCTATAATGAGGCTACTAAAGAGAAACTCGGAATTTACCAAGCTATGAAAATAGGTTTAGTTAGGCCAGGGACAGCCCTTGAACTCCTAGAAGCCCAGGCGGCCACAGGGTTCATAGTGGATCCTGTCAGCAACGTGAGGCTGCCAGTTGAGGAAGCTTACAAAAGAGGCCTTGTTGGAATTGAATTTAAAGAGAAACTTCTCTCTGCTGAAAGAGCTGTCACTGGGTACAAAGACCCAGAAACTGGAAACATCATTTCTCTCTTCCAAGCAATGAACAAAGAGCTCATAGAGAGAGGCCATGGTATTCGTCTGCTGGAGGCCCAGATTGCTACTGGAGGAATCATTGACCCCAAAGAGAGCTACCGCTTACCAGTAGAGACAGCCTACAAACGCGGCTACTTCAATGAAGAGCTCAACCAGATCCTTAGTGATCCAAGTGATGACACCAAAGGGTTCTTTGATCCCAACACAGAGGAAAACTTGACCTACTTGCAACTGAAAGAAAGATGCATAAAGGATGATGCAACAGGGCTCTGCCTTCTACCCCTGAGAGAGAAGAAGAAGGTGGTGCACACCTCACAGAAGAACACCCTTAGGAAGCGCAGGGTTGTCATTGTAGATCCAGAAACAAACAGGGAAATGTCCGTGCAGGAGGCATACAGCAAAGGCCTCATAGATTATGACACCTATACAGAACTAGCTGAGCAGGAGTGTGAGTGGGAAGAAATAACTATTACAGGATCAGATGGCAGCAGCAGAGTTGTCCTTGTTGACAGAAAAACGGGTAGCCAATATGACATCCAAGATGCTATTGATAAAGGTCTGGTGGAGAGGAAGTTTTTTGACCAGTACCGTTCTGGCAGTTTAAGCCTAACGCAGTTTGCAGACATGATTTCCTGCCGTAACGGCACTGATGAGGTGTTTCGGCATGAGTCGGTGACTCGGTCTCCCACAGTGCTGAGTGTCAGGAGTTCTTCTTCGTTGATCAGAAGCGGTTCTTTCTCAGAAACGCCAGATGAGTGCAGTCCTATTGCAGCCATATTTGACACGGAAAACTTGGAGAAAATCTCCATTTCAGAAGCTATACAGCGGGGCATTGTGGATAGCATCACCGGGCAGCGGTTACTCGAAGCCCAGGCTTGCACAGGGGGTATAATATGCCCTACTACCGGCCAGAGGCTTTCACTTCAGGAAGCCACTGGTCAAGGCATCATCGATCAGGATATGGCCACACGTCTCAAACCAGCCCAGAAGGCCTTCATAGGGTTTGAAGGCATAAAGGGAGGACGGAAGAGGATGTCTGCAGCTGAAGCAGTGAAGGAAAAATGGCTGCCTTATGAGGCTGGGCAGAGGTTCCTTGAATTCCAGTACCTCACTGGAGGTCTTGTGGACCCAGAAGTGCGTGGAAGAATAAGCACTGAAGAAGCCATTAGAAACGGATTGATTGACGGTCGCGCTGCCCAGAAATTACAAGACACCAACAACTATCCCAAAATTCTGACCTGCCCGAAAACCAAGCTGAAAATATCCTACAAAGATGCAATGAATCGGTCAATGGTGGAAGACATCACAGGGCTTAAACTCTTGGAAGCAGCCTCTGTTTCCTCTAAAGGCATATCGAGTCCCTACAATGTCTCCTCTGCACCCGGCTCTCGCTCTGGCTCTCGCTCTGGCTCACGTTCAGGCTCACGCAGTGGGTCTAGGAGGGGAAGCTTTGATGCATCAGCAAGTTCTTCATATTCTTATTCATACTCAACCTTCAGCAGTGGGTCTATTGGGCGCTAATAACAAGTGAGGGGATGTGTCTGCATTTTATTATCAGTTAGATTATTCTATATTTCCTTTCCAAGAAGAAAAAAAAACATCAGCAAAGTATCCCAAAGCAAAACCTTGAAGCCTTTTCTGGGTGTGTTACACTTCTCTTCTGAAAAAGCTGTAAAATGCTTGAATGCAAACTTGCAGGTTAGGGAATGCAAAAGTAATATTTGTGAATTTTGAGTTTTGGTTCTGATTTCCTTTTAGTGTTTGGATTTTAATAGGTCTCTGTATATTTTAAATACTGTGTCGTGCCTTCTCCTGTTATCCATAACTGTCAATCCATAAGGTGATAACTGAGGTTTGAAAATCTTGCAGTAGTTAATTTTTTTCCACATAGACCTTTTTCAATTTGCTATTATGAAGAAAAAGATATTAACAATGTGGATAGAAAATGCCCTTAATATTGGTTTAGAATCTATACCATAAACATGAAACTGTCTTTCAGATGCTCTACTTTATGTTTGGCTACTCATTTTCTGAAGTATAGCTTGGTGGATATAAAGGGCTATTATTGGACTGGGCTTTTGTTTTACTGTTACCCATATACATTTTCTACTGTTTTGCTTGATTTCCCTGTAACGAAAGAAAATAAAATCTAAATGCACCATGTGACCTCTTCTCGGCAATAAACTTCTGAAGTTTTAAAATATTTGGTGTGTACTTATTAAGTTTATCTGTGGACATTCTTGGAGGTGCTGGTTAAAGAAAGAACCATTTTTAAAAGTAGTAAACACTAGCTATGTTATAAAGAATGTACAGGCACATTATTTTTCATGATGCTGAGACATCACTTTTATGAATGTGGACTTCTGATTAAGCACAGGCAGATCAGATTTCTCTTTTTAAAAATATTGCAGTTGTTTGTTTTTTTTTAATTAGGCCAAGAGTAATGTGCTTGTTCTTTATTATATTTTTTTCTCCTATGAAAACAAAGTACTGCAAATTTTTTAAAAGGAAGTAAGGATAGAACTTGGATAGTGCTTGACTGAGCTAAGGAGTTTAAAAACATAATCCAATTTTCATATTGCTTTATTTTTAAAACTTCATTATTGAATTTAGTTCAATGTTAAAATTTTTCTATAAATATTTGCATTTGGGAAATATCAGGAAAATCTTAAAACTTTTCTAGTTTTTTGTGGGTTTTTTTTGTTTTCATTTGTAAGACTGCTCATGGCATTTAGCACATGTTTTGAAATGGTTGTAATTGATATGACGTAGTCAGGTTTTTTGGCAACTAATTGGTAGGATGTGTATGGAGAAGAGTAGGAGGAATGCATTTATCTATAGCCTGGGAACTTTAGAGCTTTCATTTCTTTCAGGATGCTATTAGAGATTTCAATCTAATGTTTCCAAATTTATTCAACTTGTCTTTGGACCCTCTGCTGTACAAGTTGGAAGAGGAAGGGTGTGGGTCCCACCATGTTTAGACAAATTTGACATTGGCCTTAGCAGATAACTTGGTTCTATTAAATAAATCTTGGAATGGAGTGCAGAAAATATTGAAGTTTTAGAGGTCTTTTGTGATCTGACCTCAAAACACGAGGGGAGAAGTGCCATGGCTTTATATTCACTCTGTGAATGACTCTTACATGAACAGTGACTATCTGGTATGTATAATAAATGGAACACTCCTCAGTATGATTGATCCAGATAGTTCTGAAAAATAGCTTGATATACCTGTATATAGACCCATGGGTTGGAATATCTAAGCTGCACCTACTAGGAAAAGTGAATGGATGGTAAAAGCAGATTGGGCAGACTCTACTGAAGCCATTTGACAAAGTGGGCATCTTGAAGGGATATAATATTCCATGATTGATGTACTTAGCAGGCCAAGCCAATGTGGAAACCATGTACCTACAAACCCTTGATTTGGCACCCCAGAACAGTCACGGTGATCTTGGAATTTGTGAGTGGTAAGGAACTAGTCTTGGGATGGGAGATACCTTCTACAAAGCTCATCTTTCCAATGCCTTGAGACTGGCGAATGTAGGAATTTTTGACTGGGACCAAGTTGCTTCCCCAGGGCTGTGAGATTACTAACTTTGGAAAGGATAAAATTAGTAGCAACTGGGTTAAGCATCATTGGGGCATTTCTCACAGAAAGCTCATCACTGTGTTACAATGAACCTAACATCTACCCCAAATTTCTGGCAAGGGGTAGGGAGGACACTCAAATTAAGAACTGTTGGTGTTCTTGAGCAGAGAGTGAGACTCGCTCACATATTACTAGGTAAAAGAGGCACAACCAATTGTGTGAAGTATTGGCAGAGAAAGCTAAAGAATGGGTAATATTTCAGGAGTCACTTTTAAAAGATCAAAAGAATTAATTATATAAACCTGACCTGATATTTTTCAAGGCAGGTCAGGCCTTTGTGGTGGACATAACTGTTAGATATGAGAGTAAAACCATCACCACTTGCTGATGCAGTGGCCGAGAAAGGAGCAAGTCCAGGACGTGAAAAATGCCAGTAATATAAAATTGATTTTATTTCCTATAGGTGCATGTGGGAAGTAGTATGAGGGCAATTACAGGCTACTAGCTAAATTAGGACTCTCAAGTTCCCAGCAAGCAAAGATTACCCATTATATTTTGAATTAAGCTCTATTTACATCCATGGACATTTTACATATATTCACAAGTCAAGCAAGAACTATTTTCAGTTCTCAGTTAACCAGACCTCTTCTGGAGGATATACAATATCAGTTTGTGTCTTGAGTTCTCTACTAATGTACACAGAAGCTGCTTAAAAGGTCAGTTACACATCTGCTTGATTTCACTTAAAATTAACAGTGTAGATTTTACTTAACATTAGTAGTGTAGATTTTACTTAACATTAATAGTGTATTACTTTATTTTTTTACATATGCTTGGTGAGAGGTTTGTAAGTTTGCCTTCTTTCTCCCTGCTACCTTGCCCCCTTCACCACCCCCCACCCACCCCGCTCTCATGGCAGATTTGGCTTATCTTCCTTCTAGAGGTCATTTTTTGAGCAGATTTTCTGAGATTTGTCTGCTTTTCAGTTCTTTAATTTCAGTATTTGAAATATCTGTATCTTTAGGTCAGATTCTGCCTTGGATCTTGAACTCTCCCAAAGTTTTGGTAAGCAGGTCTCCAGAAATATTCAGGAAGATTTTTCTTTCCTGCCTCCTTCTGGAAACAAAAGCAACTCCTACAAACAAGGCTTTCCCCTCCCACTAGAAACCTTGGAAACACCTTCAGTTGACAATTCTCACTGAACCTTGTTGAGCTGTGACTGCTGCACATCTGCTCCAAGGATAAGCAGGATTCTGCATTGTAGTAGGAAGGTGACCCTTCCCTTTGTCCCAGCCACACTCCAGATATCCATATAATTCAAAAGAAGATTGTAGTTGTGTGTTTGCCTGAGAAGGTATCATTAGGATTTAGTACACTAAGCCTAATGTTGTATTTCCTGCTAGGCTTTGCAGCAAACTGGAAATTGCATTTAAATAAGTGAAAAAAAATTAAATTAAAAATAAGAAATTGCTACCTCCTACTATACTGGCACATGGACAGGCACACACTGCCACATGTGTATTTGTACCACTCTGGGTCCTAAAAGAGGGACCCAAGCTCCACCACTAATGATGTGGACTGTGCTATGTAACACAGTAAAGGCCAGTCTTCCTGGGGAGCATGTTTGACATTGTTCACTCTTACCTCCTGCCAAGGCAGTTGAAAACATTTGGGATCATTCGCTTCTAGAAAAAGGTAGTTAGTGGCAATAGACTTTGATACAATCTCATTATGCATTCAAGATGAATCTTAGGAGAGTTATTAAGCTGGGCTCATCATGAGTTATGAAACTTTTATTTATTTTTTAGTTCTGGAGGAACAATAAAATACCTATTTCTAGTTCATTTTTACAGCAACCCTGACCAGCAGGACGGGAGAAGCTTAGAAGGCAGCAGCAATAGCCAAGGATATTACTGTATTGCGTGGCAAGTCTCTTGGTGTAATCATAGTAAAAAATCAGGCTGTAGGAATCATCTGGAGTTCTTTAGCCAATCTTAGATTTTTGGCAAATCTTTTTGCAGTAAAGTCCATTGTGTACTGTTGAAAGGTAAAGTTCTGGAAGATGCTAGTTTCTGCTATAATTTTATTTCTTTTTTTTTCTATGTCCCAGTTACTGTGAGTACTAAAACTGATTTAATGCTCCAGCCACACTGTACTGACTGTTGGAACTCAGGGATCCTGTCTTAGCCCTAGTGCTGTGATCTCCAAGGGACACTGAGCAAACAATGAAATCTTTGCCAGGGTAAGCTTTTTGTACCTGCAAACTGGATTCATTAGCATTTTGAAGCGAACCCTAACTCTCATGCTTCCCTGGACTGCCATTCACTCCTGAGATACCACATGCCCTTCATCACTCTGGAAATAACAAAGCATTCCAAATAAAGTTCCTCATCTTACTCAATATATCTTAGTGTCTCAGAAGATTTTTTTGCTATTGTTTGTGTATCTAAGTGAATTTAATGCTCTCCAGTAATCTGCTTTGATACCACTAGATAGTTATTTCCAATATAGACTAGGAAGTTTACCCATTGTGTTCTGCTTGTGTGCTTTTAGTTAGACATCTTTGGGCACAAGTGTATAATTTTGATTTTTAGGCCACTTGAACAATGTATGGAACAGTTTGCTCCTTCTCCAGCTCATGCCCCCCTCAAGAGAATATCCTGTTAGTCTTTCAGGGAAGTGTTGTCATCTTCACGCCGTAATGCAGGGAAGCCCAAGTATTGTAATTAAGTCCTCCCAGGAGTAAGAATAAGGTGCTGTTTCACAGCAAGGATGCTGGCAATTTTCAAAAAAGGAAAAAGTAGGGTAAAATGTTTTCATCATGAATTCCTAAAAATCACTTAAAAAATTACATTTGCTTTTACAGAAATTTATGGTGTCATTGGCAGAATCAATGAGGTAGGTCCAAACACAAAATGACCTTGTTTTATATATTATATGCTCACCTTCTCCAGCCTTTCCCATACCTCCTGTGTAACCTTAACTCTAGCAAAATTAAAGGGATGATGCTGTAATTGAGTTGCCTGAAATTTTGCGTGGTACACAGTATACAACATCAAAAAGATTGTGATCCTATGAATAACAAGCATTAGAAAATGTTTTGCAAAAACCACAGTCAGGACTAATCATCCTGTAGAGTAGTAATTTCCTTAATTTTTACAGTAATGAAAAAATAATCTCAAGGCTACAGTGTTTCTGTCTACCATGTAGCTGTATATTTGAATCCTGTCCTTTAGCTAACCAAGTGAGATTGCTAAAGTGCTCTGTGTCCTTTCTAAGTAATTTGTGCAGAAATAGCAACCTTAAAGAGTAGAC